AGTTGGTTGGAAATGTAAGTAAGCACCACTTCCACCTTTTCCACGTGTAAAATGGCGAGCATGTGATATGCGTCGGTTACCATATAGAATATGTGAGAATGGGAATGCTTGGTAAAAGGCCTTTTCCGTGTCTCGGTTTGATATCTTCATCATCTATGTCGTCAAAACTAATACTGGTAAAAGCAACTTGAAAATCTACCCTCAAGACAATATCATCATAAAATAAAGACGAGAAACAAGGAAAAAAGAGAAATAACCTAGTCAAACATTTGAACACTGTATAACTTTGGACAGCGTACAAACACCAAATTCCCACACATGATCCATATTATTCTTAATTCTTTTTGAGAAATATGATAACGAACTCAAAGAGTAGAAGATACCCCAATCAGCAATGCTTCTTCAAGTTCCTCTGCCACGTGTTTAAATGTCTGAGTAAGTAAACGAAAAAAGGTCCTAGGTTTCAGAAGCACATCAAATGCCTGAAAAATAATTTCCATGGAAACTTTTAGTCACAACACAAGGAAACTCCAGAAAGACCTTCGTTTCTAAAATCTATTGACATCTTAACAAATTAATCAAAAGAAACACTCTTGGATAAGGGCATTAGACTTAAATCAATAAGGCACCAAAATTCAAAGGAATCGAACAATGTACTGCAGATTCAAATACCACCTTCATGGAAACTTGGTATTTTCTCCCTCCTGCCAACCCTCACGTGCCTCACTGATAGCTGCTTCATGAACTCTTGTGATTTTCAGAATTAAAGCATCCATCAAGGGGGTTAATATTGTGGGGTGTCAAATACAATGCGGAAATTATTGCATGATAATAATATGTCAGCTTCCTTAGCTAAATTGCTCGAGGACAAAACTCGTGAATGGCTTATAAGCAGACTTGAGGGAAGAGAAGGATTAGTTCAGAGCAGACTCCAACCAGCTTTCTTTGCCATTGAACACCTCTCTTTCATTGTCCTTCTCACATTTTCTGCTTCTTCCCACCTCCCAACGGAGCTATACATATTGGCCAACATTATATAGTAGCCGTCATTTTCTGGTTCAGAGTCAATAGCATAAGTGGCAATCCTTATTCCCATCTCTACTTGATTGTAAGTTTTACAATGACCTAACAAAGCTCCCCAGACACCGCTGTCTGGAGAAATAGGCATAGACAGGACCATATCTTTTGCTTCCTGTAAATTACCTGACCTTCCCAAAAGATCTACCATACAAGTGTAGTGCTTTAAATTGGGACTCAAAGAATAACTCAGCATTCTCAAGAACACGTACTTCCCTTCTTCAGCAAGTCCTGCATGGGCACATGCTGAGAGAAGAGAGAGGAAGGTAATTTCATTGGGCATAACGTTCGATTCCTCCATACGTTGGAAAATCTCCAAAGCTGATTCTGCATATCCATTCATTCCATAGCCTGTAATCATTGCATTCCAGCAAATTTCATCCTTCTCCATCATAGAGTCAAATACCATTCTTGACTTTTGCAGCTGCCCACACTTAGCATACATATCAACCAACGCCGTGCCGAGAGGTAAATTGAGTCTAAAACCACTTTCATTTATGTAGTCGTGAACTCTTTCCCCTTTCTCTAGAGATGCAAGGTGAGAACATGCTGAAAGCACTACTACAAGTGTGGCTGTATTGGGCTGCTGATCTTCCCTAACCATTTTATTAAATAAATTTACAGCCTCTTCATGCCGCTTGATGTGAACATGAGACGAAATCAAAGTGTTCCACAATACAACATCCCTCTTCGACCTGTTGAATATTCTCCAAGCAAAGGTCATCTGACCACATTTTCCATACATCTCTATAAGCGAGTTGGTGACCGAGATGTTACCGTCCAGAAAACCCTTTACCACATTGCAATGAATCGACCTCCCCAAATTAACTTCTCCCAACTGAGCACACGAGGCAATTGCCGAAACTATGCCAACTGAATCAGAACGAATACCTAAACACTGCATCTCCCTGAAGAGATCGACACACTTCGCGTTCTCCCCTATTCTATCATACCCAAAAACCATAAAGTTCCAACACTCTCCGCTCCCTCGACACAACGGGAAAATTCTCTCTGCCAAACTTAACATTCCAAACTTGCAGTACATAAACAAAAGCAAATTATTAACTTTCTCATCATCCACGTAATGTCTCCTTATAATTACTCCATGAAACGCTTTCCCTTGAGACGCATCCATGGAATTACCAAACCCCGAAAGCATGCGACCAATAACAATCCCATCTGGACATATTTCATTTTCCTGCATTTCTTTATACAACTTCACACACTCCCCCATCATCCCAGACCTCGCAAAAACCCCAATGATTGACGTCCAAGACAAAAGATCTTTGTGAATCACCTCACGAAATGCTCGATACGCTTCTCGTGGGATCCCACATTTGGAATACATAGCCAAAACCGAAGACTGTAGAAAAGAAGCAACCCCGTGTTTGATAACGACCCCATGCAAGCACGCGCCATCTCTCACAGCCCCGAGACTCCCACACGCGAGAAACCCACCCTCCCACGTTCTAACGTTGGGTTTTTGAGTATCCTCACCAACCCCATGCATGTCACGGAGACACCTCAACCCCTTCTCCGGCTCCTCATTCTGCACGTGCCCGATGATTAGTGCAGTCCAAGCAGCCACGTCTCGCACAGGAATTTCATCAAACACCTTGCGTGCAAAGTCCATTTCACCACAGCGCGAGTAAAGCGACACGAATGAAGCGGAGGAAAAATGGAAGAGGCCGGTTTTGAAGGCTAGGGCGTGGAGCGAGGCGCCGTGGGAGAGGAGCATCAGGTGCGCAGAGGCGGAGACGACGATGGGGAGTGTGAAGTGGTTGGGAGATAGGTTGGAGGCGCGTGTCATGTGTGAGAAGAGGGTGAGAACGTGGGGGAAGAGAGAACGGGAGAAGAGGGATTTGAGGAAGGAGTTGTAGATGAAGGTGTCTTTGGAGGGAAGAGAGTGGAAGAGGGTGGAACACGAAACGTGGTCGTTTTCGAGAGAGTCGTAGAGAGAGATGAGCTTTGAAGCAATGAAGAGGTTAGTGGAGTGGCCGCACGTCACCGTGAGCGCGTGGAAGCGGTGGAGAGATTCTTGGGTTTTGACCTGCTTCGCGAGCAAGATGAGTTCGCCTGCATCGTACACCTTCAACATGCGTATCAACATTCCTCTGAGTTAACGGTTCATTCACCGTGTAAGGTTTTCGCAGAGACGAAGCACTCGATGACCATGAACAAAAAGTTCAACTTTCAAACAATTGACGTGCATGCGCTAGTCCTGTTCTTCAATAAAATGTTTAAAGTATTTTTCTCTATTTATTATCTTATTAATATAAAACAAAAATAATATAAATCACTTATTTTTATTCATAAATAATTATTACTACATGTACTTCTATATTGTGAAACTATTTGGCCGGAGCAGGTGAAACTACAATCTGAATTATTACGACCTTTCCAACGTCATAATAAGTATTTATTACAATATTTAAAACATTTTACCTCCTGCATAATCTATTTACCGAGTTAGAATAAGTTAGTAAAGAATGCAGTTTAATGAGTACGTTTAATATTTTAAATTATTTCATTTTTAAAAACTTTTATTTGAATTTCTATTTTCATAAAAAATAACTATTTTTCATCCTACTCAACAATAATATATAACTTTTAGCAATATAACTATTATCCATTAGTCTGTCACTCATTGTCATTTCAGCTTTTGAATTATTGTGATGGATGTTCTTCAATCATGTTAATATGATAATACCATTGTTTAAATGATAGAATATAACTGTGCTTCTTAAAAAAATTTCTCATATAAAATTATATATTTAAGGTTAAATAAATAAAAGAAATTTGATTAACAATATGGTTTTCATACTTTACGAAGATAAAAGGTATTTTATATATTTGGATAATAATGCAGTGAAGAGATCCATGCACGGAAAGATTTGTAGGTATTTTTGAATGTTGACACGTGGGATTAGATTTGGAGAGGGTGAGTTGAGACAGTGCCAATACACAGACATTGTCTTGTGTTGTATACTCACTGGTACACATAAAATTGAATAAAACTGAATTTTGCATGCACTAATTTAATCATGTTACCCCCCACACCAACCTTTCTTCATTCACATCATTAGCTGGCCACAGTAAAAACATATTCCTAATGTGGTCCAATTATAATTTCTTATAAAATTCATTTAATATTTTTTAACTAACGCTCTTAATATATGTGTAAATAGGACCTTGCTTTTAAACCTTCTTTACACATTATTAAATTTTTTATTCATAAAATAAAAATATTGAATTTGTTTTAAATGTTGAGTCTATATGTTTTTACTAAATAAATTTTACATAATATTATATTAAAAGGTTAAAAAAAACCATTATTGTAAGAAACATAATATTTGCCATTTTATTCCACATCCTTCTCTTTCCATTACTTGACGTTAGTTGATTATTTTCGTGTGTTATGTGCTATACCTTTACACACAAAACAAAAAACATTAATAGATGGGAATAATTATTTGAAAACAAATACTTTATAGAAAATAAAAGATGGAGGGTAAAAAATAAAAAAGACAAAACGCGGAGAGGGTGAAGAGGGTATGGGTCTCCGATTTTGTAGTTTGTGTGTCTGAAATGATAATGAGGTTGTTTATCATTCCATGAATGCGAAAATGGAATGAGTGGTAACTTCATTTCATTTTTGAAACACAACAACGTTGAAAATCATTCTCTAACCACACAAGCTAGTTTTGGCGCTCCCTCCAGCATCGTCACAACTCAACACTATAAAAACAGTGAAAGAGACACAACAACGTGGACGAGAAGGTACTATACTCTTTCTTACTTGCTCAGGACACTGAAATAGAAAGAAACAGACAAAGTCTAAAATAAAATCTTCCTATATATTAAAAAATGAGGGATTCTTCATTCTTCTCTTTTTCTCTCTCTGCAATGTAGGCCGCCGGAGAATGGCAAAGTGTCACCGGAATAACGGCGGATCCATCGCTCTCCACCACAGCCACACCGCTAAAAATGCAACTGCTGGTGGTCACTTCCGCCTGCTTCGCCGCTTGATCATCGACGCCGTCAGCTGCGGCGGCAACTCACGCAACCGGTATCGCCAGAGCGGCGGCGATGAGGATGACGACGGAGACGGTGGCGACTTTGGCTCCGCGACGAGCCATGCAGAGAAGGAGGAGGGGTCGGGGAAGCTGTCGGATCTGTTGAACGCGGCGGAGATGAAAACGGAGGCAGAGGCGGAGGCGAAGAAGAAGGAAGAGGCATTGGCGGAGCTGAAGCGAGTGGTGAAGGAGTTGCGCGAAGAAGATTTCACGATTCGGCGAATCGCGGCCACGAAAGTGAGGTCGCTAGCGAAGGAAGATTCCGAAGCGAGAGCGAATCTCGCAATGCTCGGAGCAATTCCTCCTCTCGTGGGAATGCTCGATTCGGAAGATACTCATTCGCAAATCGCTTCGCTCTACGCTTTGCTCAATCTCGGAATCGGAAACGATGCGTGCGTAATTTGCATTATCGTTGAAATCACACTTTTTTACCTAAATATTTTATATATATGGAATTTGATGTTAATTTAATTATTTCAGAAATAAAGCGGCTATAGTGAAAATCGGCACTGTGCACAAAATGCTGAAGCTAATTGAATCGAGTGGTTCGGATTGGTCCGTGGCCGAAGCGATTGTTGCGAATTTTCTTGGATTGAGTGCTTTGGATTCGAATAAACCGATAATAGGATCCTCCGGGGCAATACCGTTCCTAGTTAGAACCCTAAAAAGTTTAGACGCCAGTAAAACCGCATCACAATCCCAATCGCAAGGGGAGCAAGATGCTCTGCGCGCTTTGTACAATCTTTCGATCTGTCAGAGCAACGTTTCGGTGATTTTGGAGACGGATTTGGTTTGGTTTTTATTGAGCGCGATTGGGGACATGGACGTGAGTGAGTGGAGTCTCGCCATTCTGAGCAATTTAGTGTCGACTCCGGAGGGAAGAAAAGCGATCAGTGGTGTGAGCGATGCGATTCCGGTTCTGGTGGATGTGTTAAGTTGGACGGACTCGCCAGAGTGCCAAGAGAAGGCATCGTACGTGTTGATGATTATGGCACACAAAGCGTACGGTGACAGGCGGGCCATGATCGAGGCTGGGGTTGTGTCCTCGCTGCTTGAATTGACGCTTGTGGGAACCACGTTAGCTCAGAAGCGGGCCTCGAGAATATTGGAGTGTTTGAGGGTGGATAAGGGGAAACAGATTTCTGCTAGCTACGCTGGAAACTTGAATTTGGGCGTTTCTGCTCCTATTTGTGGATCTTCTTCATCCAAGGGTGGTGCAGGAGGAGGAAAAGGGTGCTTGGTGGACGAGGAAGATGGAACGATGATGATGAGTGAAGAAAAGAAAGCGGTGAAACAGTTAGTGCAACAGAGTTTGCAGAATAACATGATTAAAATAGTGAAGAGGGCCAACTTGCGTCAGGATTTCATTCCATCTAGCCACATTGCTTCACTCACTTCGAGTTCCACTTCCAAGAGCCTCCCATTTTGAAGAACAATGAATAAACCATTTCACATTGTAGTTTCGTGGAGTTTTGATCTTGTAGCTCTTTCCTAGCACTTATAAAATAGTTGTTATATATTATAATAACATCAATTTCTACTTCAATTGTGTAGCTTTTGGATCTATTGTTTTTTGGGTGTCTGCTAAGGACACATTCTGTTTCTTCTGCATGGGCTATCTGGATTGGAGCATGCGATAAGTACTCCATGGAAACATGAAAATTGAAAGCTTTCTGTTAATAGAAAACGAGATATTGATCACCATCACACTTATATGAGCTGGTTTTAGTGTAGTTTGTTGAGGCCTCCTATCAGTGGCATGACCCGAAAAAATGGAAAATGGTAGGGTTACTAAGAATGCAACTTCGGTGTGCCAGCATCCTGCATTCAAATAGTCGCTTTCTGATCATAATACACATTTGTCATCCACTTGGGTAGGCTATTTGTTTTATTGTTCTAACTGTAGTCAATAAATTGGATGGGGTGTCGGTCATTTTCGTCTATACCTTAGATACAGGGACTGTTCACTGCCCATTTCTATTTGAGAATCTTACCTAAGTTTGTTTACAAATTTTATGGGTAGAGAGTTTCAGGAATCTCTGGATTAGCAGAGATGAGCATCATTTGTTAAATATTACCAGTCAGATTTTGACTGTTAATGTCGGATAAAAAAATTCATTTAATAACCAACAATTTGTTTAAGGTCACATGACAATGATAGGTTGGATTTGTTAGAATTGAAAGATGACCGGTTGCATTTTCTCCGTACCAAGTGTATTTACCTGTTGCGGTGTCTACGGTCATATTATGTTATCTTCTTCCTAGTCCTTTAATTTTGTTGAATTTCAGTGTAAGTATTCTTTTGTCAATGTAATTTCAATATTAAAATTAAGTAGGTTAACCCTTTGATAAAAAAAGGGGACCATTTTCATTGACTTTGTTGAAATTTTAGCCTAACTCTGAGCCCGAGGTTTAAAAAGTGTGCTTCTATTATGTGAGCTACAGTGTTTCTGGTTGGATTACAAGAAAGTGGAAAAATTTGCATCCAGGCAATGATGTAACCACGAAATTCTGCTGCTAGCTAATTGGCAGGTAAGATTTTCACCTTTTTGCAAATTAATTTTATTTCTCGTATAGTATGTCAAATTTACTTAAATTTCAGCATGGATCCACAATTAACATTACTAACGCAACCTTTGTGTACAATATGTTAGAATTAATAATAATCATAGACAAAAGAGGCCAAGTTTCCGTGTGTGCTTCGTACTCCTCCATTATTGCATGTGTGGCAAAACTGAAACCTTCATGGATTGTATTTATGCTCACAGTTTCCTACACCTTTCCAAAACCATGAATTCAATAATTATGTTCATATATCTTACTTTTTCCTCTTATATCCTCTTCCACCTTTATTACATCATTTTATATTAACTTTATAAATCAACTTCGTGCCACATTTAATTTGAATTATTAAGACACAAAGATAAAGTTTGAAATTTTTTAATTTATAATATTTTTATTCGATCTAGAATTTCATATTGATCTTCATACGTCTATACATACGTGAATTGTTTACAAATTTACTTTTTTTTTTACTAAATACAAATGTAGTTATTTTGTGTGAATGTTACTATGCATGTGGATTGAAAAGCGATAAGAAGATGCATAGAGTTGCAGTTGTAGTTGCTACATAGTACGTGACCACATGCACGATGCATCACTATACCATAAATAATGCACTAGTTCTGTAGTGGAACTTGTGCTTTTTTCTTTAATTTATTTTGTAGTGGAAATGACCGCGATTGTACACACACTTTTCACCTTTGTTCCGGGAAAAGGATAACAGAGAAAATAATGAGAGATGGGTGTAATAAAAACAAATAAGAAAATGAAGGGTGCTTCAAATTCAAAGTCATTGTCCATACAAGAATAATCACACAATCACTCATAAATGTGAATATATATATATATATATATATATATATATATATATATATATATATATATATATATATATATATATATATATATATATATATATATGGTCATGTAGAGCTTGGCAAAAACAATGACATTGACTCTTCATGCATGCATGTATCCTTTTCATGAAATAGTACTGTTGAGGGATTAGTTAAAATTAATTAGTAATTTTTGTATAAATTTTACGTATAATATTGTTGAATATCGTTTAATATTTTTCTCTGATATGTATAGCTTAAGAAGTATACATTTCCTATCATGAAATGTCTTTCATTTTTTACATTTACATCACATTTTTATCTTTATTTATTTATTTATTCTTTTGAGCTGTGTTTCCTCTTAAAACGTATAAATCTAAACTGAAAAGGAATGTAATAGTATATTATATTGGTTTTCAATTGATTTAGGAAATTTCAATATGTCTTTGATCTTGCAGGATAGTCATTCAAATTGTTAAAATTAACTACAAATATAACTAAATTTATTATAAATGTATCTGTAGGGTTGAATTAGATTTAAAATTAGCGATTTATTTTATGATGGATTTTTAGAGTTTTTAATTTTGATTTAGCTAAAATAACATAATCTAATGTGAATAAATTGAGAAATTTATTTGACTTTCGATATAAATATGTGGTATAATCAAAATTGAAACATTTTAAATGATAGAATTTTACTGTTTTTTATTTTAAAAAAAGATTTAAAATTGTAATGGATAAAATATATATTTAACAAAATATAAAACTAATAATAATTATAGTTTTTAGATTTTGAATAATAAACATTTTTACACTCCAACATCATCATTGTTGATCACGATAACAAACCACAATGAGGTTGTGTTTATGAGCATCAACTAACATAGCATACCTCTCTCAGCTAGGTCAATATAGGGTCACATGAAAATGGAATAGAGGGAAGAAAGAATCCTAGAACAATTACGGTATTATTATACTCTTCTAATTCAAAATGTGGTGTTTTTTCAACACAACCAACGACATTTACTATCTAACTGTCATGGGAAATGGAACAAAAGTTAGTAAAATATAAGCAGAAAAAAATGGAAATGAAAAAACAAATTAAAAATATAAAACCACATTACAACACATTTTGGACAAAAAGTCTCTAATTTCACCTAAAGAGAATTATTCTTGCTTGACAATGAACTAGGAACAAAGGGCTGACTAGATAGTGAATTCCTTTCCAACAGGTGCACAATAGCAAAAGGCAAACTTTTTTTTTTTCTGACTTAAAAGACTGGGGAGAACCATATTGGATGCTAAGCGTGTAGCATTCTACTAAGATTTTTTTCTACTCAGGTAAGGGTTCATTTTTTCGTAAACCCAACCTTTATATGATTAATTAATTATAATTTACTATTAAAATAGTAATTATAAAACTTAATAAATTTATTATACCATGTAAAACTTATTTATACCATAAATATATTTAAATCAGTTTCCTGATGTGTTTAATATTTGTCTCACATGCTAGGTGCTTACCAATAGTTAGAGACGAATTATTTGAATTTATCAAACTTAATTTTAAACACTAAATTTGATCAAGCTTTAATTTTATTTCTTAGTTCAAAATTTAAAACCAGTTTATATCTTAAATCTATCATACACTTCCAAATATTTGTATAAAAAAAAATTGGAGAGTTCAGATGGAAATTTTTTACAGAAAAGGCACATTGATTGTTATAAAAACTTTACAATTCCATAAGCCCACCCGAGTTTCACATCGTTGTTCTGGCTGATTATTCAGCTTAACTTTCCTTTACTAGAGATTTTTTTGGGCCAGATTGCTCAGCTTGTTCAGCCAAGAACTCAAAGAATCAGGAAACCCAAAATTGTACATGATCTAAATTAAATAGATAAAAAAATATAATTAAACCATTCTTTTCTTCAGGAAAACATAAGGCCCGTTCAATCCGTAAAATTAATCGTCTGATTCAATTGAAAAATAGATTCATTGCCACACTTTGACCTATCACAGGAAGTACCGCTAGCATACTGCATAACAAAACATCAGACACATTAAGTGTTTCTTGCAAGGAGAAAGGGGCATGACTTTCTACATGGCAACAAAGTGTGTACCTATGACAAATATTACTACCGTTATCTCGTCCTAAATACTCCCGTATACTTTCCTTCAATAGAAAAAAATCTGCATATGCTTTCAGAATTCAGAATCAGTGCCGCCCATCCACTCTCACAATCCAAGGTAATAGAAAGTATCAATCAACTTATTTGCTCTCCGTGACCGGAAGGTAGACACCTTCAGCTGCCAACCACACATTGTCAGCACGCTTTTCACGAACACCACAAACCTGATAAGAATATGAATAAAAAAACTGTTATTATACTTCTAACATTTTAGTTCTTTCAAAAATAAAATAGGATCACTATGAAATTGATCAAATGTACGATGTACCACCACCATCCATTATCCACTGTACTGTCTAAAGACAACGCTAACTTGACAAACTTAAGCTAAGTGCCAAAGTCATCTACAGAAAACTTTTACTGATTCTGTTGATGCACTCTTAACCCAAGCAAGTAAAATTAAAATATGAGATTTGGTATCCAAATGGAAAACATGAAGAGGTCTGACACTGAAAGCAGTAAGCACCGAAAATATTATTGGCACATCTTGTTGCAAAGAGAACATAAGATTTTCAAGTTTGACGTCATTTCTCACCTCCTGCTGCCCCCCAGCAATGCGGCTGTATTTCTTATCATGACTATGCAGATAGCCTCCAGTGTCAATATGCTGAAGGCGAATCTTCTGATCCTGCTTCCAAGTCTTCCCACTTCCCTCTATTAAAAGCCTAAAGACAATGAAAAACTATATAAAGCATCTTCCAGAATATTGAGATCTAAATATCCAATGAGAGGAAAAAAGGTCTCACCTCCAGTAGTCACCAGTGTCAGATTCATTTTCTCCTCCGAAACAACTCACCTATATTCCATAATCAGACAGAGTCCAAAATAGGTTATATTCGAACCAAAATTTTAGCTTCCATCAGAAGGTTAATTTGAATGCAAAGTCAAGGAAGATAAATAACATAGATATTTCCAAAAATGCCATCTCTAATTATATTTGATAGTACAAGAATTTTAGTATCAAATTCTCTCGCATTAGTCAACAAGGAGACAGAGATACAGTGAGATAGCTTATAGTAGTAGTTAATTGCATGAGTGTATATTTATAGTAGCGGAACTTATCCCTGTAGATAGGGTTAGCTACATAACTGGGTAAATTAATTGATAGCATTGGGATAATTAATATTTTTTTTTTTTTTTACAAAATTTATTAGCAGTTCCATCAAGGAGCTGAAGTCATTTCCATTTGACTTTGGTAGCTCGATACAAAGGACAAATTGAAGACATATCATACCAGTTGAGACCAAAAAACCAAAAAATTAAAGCGGAATGTGGAGAGAATCTTTACACATAATCGATCTTTAGGTTAAAGGAAGGAGTATTAAAAAGGAATGTACAGCAGATGAGTCTGCTCAAATAACAAAGACGAGCAGTAAAATGAAAAGAGATGGGTTCACTCAAAGCTATGGGGAAAATAACATTAAATTAAAGATAAAAAGGACTCCGCAAAGAAGATACATAGAACCACGTGATCCTAGATATCTGAGGACTAAAAAGCAATTAATTTTGGGAAAAAATATTTGAAATATTCAAGTTTGATTTAGTTAAAAGATTATTGTTAATATATCAGTGCTTGATTTAAAGATAGTGATTGGTGAAGGCAAGGAGGCCATTGACTGTGTACATTAACAGTAAATGTGAAAATTGTAATACCAAAAAAAATCCCTAAATATCTTCCAAGATATGATAATATCATTCACTATTTATTCAAAATACAATACGCTCCTAGAGGGAAATAACAAAAGAAAAGCTCTCAATTTGGACCACATTAGTTCTTTAAAATTTTTGGTCTTTAAAAAAAAATTAGCAACTTTAAATGGGATCAGTACTCAAAGTCTGCGAACTAAAGTGGCCAAAAAACATATAGAAGGACTCCCTAGGTAATGCTTGCAGTGGCCTTTCCATAGATGAGAGACTTAATACCTTGTGACTTGAGGCAGAGATGAAACAATAACTCCAAACTAAGATCTAATTAATAAAACTGCACACAAAGGAAGTTCCACATGCAATACTGTATATTAATTACATAGCAAGTCTTTGTAATTAATCATACATAGAAAAGTAGCAAATATAACTTGCATTACAACATTACCATATTTACAGCAATCAACAACAAAGCCTAAAGCAAACGTCGGTAGCAAACAACTAAAGAAAAATGCACTCACCTCAAGATTGCCTGATATAGGGGATGCATGCAAATGGCTGTGTAGCCACTTCCTTGTCCTCATATGCTGTAGTCTAATGATTGTACCACTTTTAATGGCATCACCTTGTTTAGCATTAGTTCCTGGCTGAGGTCTAACAATCTACAAAACAATGCACATAGCCAAAGTGAATACAAAACCCAAAGGCCACGGAGCAAAATTTCCAAAACTTAATCATAATACACCGATCTACACTGTCATCTAATCATAAATTATCACCTAATAAAAAATCATTTACTATTGTAATGGTTACTTTAAAAGTCACACATACGGTAATTCCTAACATATTTATTAAAAGTCCCAACTAAACTCAAATCTTCAAGATAATAATGCAGCATACTCGGCACTCGTGCCGATACAAAAACGTGAGCTCAGGTTCTTTCATTCACAGAACACAATTCATCTAAGAAAAAACAATAGGAATAAGAAAGTTACCCAGTAACTATTGGAATCGTCAACATTGGGGAAGCCAGTAACCGATTGTTGTCCACTGCCAGAACCGTAGGGCACGTCATGAGAATGCAACCGAAATTTGGTCTTCTCGTGCATAAGCTTCAGCACCGTGCCATACGTAACCTGCACCTGCACAATCAAGAATAACCAATTATTTATTAATTATAATTTATCATTAGTTATCGAAAAATTGCATAGGAAAATAATATATTAGAGATCCTTAACCATAAACGGCGAAACGGAAAAGGAAAAGAGAGAGTGATACCTCGACGCCTTCGGAGGAAGCGGCGGAGGCGGAGGCAGTGGAAGAAGGAGCGAATTCAGTGTCAAGAGTGAGGAAGAGGAAGAGAGCGAGGGCGAAGAATCCAAGAGCCATGACGAATAGCAATGCGATGAACCAGTTCTGCTGCCAGATCGGTAAATCGGACTCCGAGGTGCCCCGCGACTCCCGGTAAACGATCCGGGTCGACCCGGACGTTTGTTGATGAGAAGAAGATGAAGAAGAAGAGGAAGTCTTTCTTCGAGAAAGGTTCTGCGACCCTGAGGAAGCCACGGTTCGACCCGATTTACTATCCAGATCGAAAGAAAGAGAAAGAGCGCATTCACGTCGCTGCCAAAGAATGATGAAACTTGCTTTGCTTTCTAAATGGTCTCTGCAATGGCCCGACGCGGACCGGGAACGACACGCGAGTTTACTTTGATCTACGCTGGAGTCTTGGAGACACGTTACTTTACATGCTTTCACCCAATCGAGATCCAACACGTGGTGCTTTTCATGACGTGGATGCTTATTACTGGTTCAAATTTCTCCATTCCTACACTCAGGTAATCGGCCCACTGTAACTTTTGGGCCGTTTCACACATGGGTTGCTTTTCGCACTTTCTTTTTTCTATTTCCCGCGTTTTCTTTTCTTAGTTATTTTTTTTCTTGAAAGTATATTTTTTGGACGTAATTTTAGTTAATTTAACTTATTTGAATACTTCAACATTTACATTATACGAAATAATAATATTTAATAATGCTTAAAAATAAGAAAAAATAGTTACGAGTTTATAATGGACAAGTAACTTTAAATCATGTTAAGTATCGCTAGCACAAACAATAAGCAAACATAAATGTCGATACGTTACAAAATTATCAACATGTATCATTAAAGTTGAACTTTATACTTCAAATAAATATAAATCAATGAACCTATATCTCCTATCGTGGTAGCATGATATTGAGTGATGACATTAACCAACTAATGTGAAAAAATGTTAACGACCTACTATTTAATCAAATCAAGCAATAGATGTCACCGTGTTAGAATGCATCTCCTCGAACGATTTACTATGACAAAATAAAATCGGCTTCATGGGTATAGATCATTAATATCTTAAAATGGTTTGTTAAGTTTACCCTATATATTAAATTTTTTTTTAAATGTTATCAGTAGTAAAATGTGTTAAAAGTCAATAAATAATAGTTAAAATAAAAGTGAAATAATATTTTAGATAATATAAATATTTGATGATTTAAAGTTTTAGAGATTAAATATTAACTTAAATTTGATTCAAACAAGTATACTAAAAAAATTGATAGTTGTTGAGTCAGTTGAGGATTTGCTAAGGGGCTTAATCAAGTTAATCATATATATTTAATAGACAAACTTATTAGATGTGTGTAGTCAATCAATCCTAAAAGGAGTGAGCAACTGATATATCTATAGTTAGTTAGATTGATGAAGGTCATGTGAGATGTTAAAAGTTGGTTAGAACTGTTAAAGGTCATATGAGTTAATAGGGACTGTTAAAACCATATATGAACATATAGACATAAAAACGAGTCGTTTAAAGTCAATTGCTTATAAGGTTAACTATGGTCAAGTGTCATCGGTGACCTCATTGATAGAAATAGAATTTTGTAAATGGTTTATCTTGAATATTTTTTCATTAGTTTCATCTTATTAATTGATCAAACTACTATCTACTTTCGAAGTCTTTTGGTTGGATGCTCCGCTTTCATAGGCCATGCTTTGCATGCTTGGTCAAACTTTTTTTTTTTTTTTTCTTTTTTATGGGTTTGGTGTTAATAACACTGACGTCATGTTTCTGTTGATTTAATCTCAAAATAATTATTTATAAATATATTATTCCGTTTGTAAAATATGATCAAACGAATAAAAATATATATTTAAAAAACGAGTTATAAAAACGGATCATTAAACTGATTTATATCTTAAAATGGCTCATATTTTATCAAGTATAATCTTATATTAGATAAATAATTTTTTATATATTTTATTAATTTTGTTTGAAGAAATATTTATTTATTTATTTAAAATTAACTCATTTTTTACAAAATAAAATAATAATATACTTTCATATAAAAAATTTATCATATAAAATTTATTTATTTTGTATTTATGCTAAATGAAAAATTCTTAATTTCTAATTTTGATTCATAGGTACAAATTTATCCTATTCGAAATATTATAGCTGATACATTTTTTTCCTATAATAAATACATCTTATAAATATAAAAAATTATTTTTAATAATTATTTAAAATTAAGATTAAAAACTTTATTTCTCTTTCCTAATCTATGTTGGTATGAATTCATTATATTGTTTATTATAACTCTTTTATTTTTAATTACTTTTATATAAACTTAATTTTGGGAACCCGCCAACGCGTTTTTTTAAACTAATTTTTCATTAAAATTACTCGAATTAAATATTTTTAAAAACAATGTACACTTTCTTTGTTTCACGTATGTGAGTTTTATATTTATCTAAATTTTTAATTTAACTTATCATATAATTTATAATATTAAACATTTTTATCATGATATACAAATTTTAAACATATTATTATATTTTACAAAAGAATCATTTTTATAATATTTGTATGTTATTGAAGAGAAAAAAAGAGAATATTATAATTTTTTTAAAATATTATCAGCTATATATTTAAAAAATAATAAAAATGGGAGAGGTAATTAATAGAAAAAAATATATTTAAAAAATAAAGGGAATAAAATATTTTTTTAAAGAATGTTTTAAAAGAAATATTTTAATGTGTCACGCGTCTGTCTATTCTGATTTTCATTATCACAGAAAAGGGGGGAACGAAAAGAAAAAAATATAAGGAAGAACCCTAATCTTGTCATTCTATCTTATTGTCCCAAATCGGATTCGATTGTGTGATTTTTTAGGGCATCAATGGAGTGAGGCATAGGAACGTGGTTTAAGCAAAAAAAGCGGGAAGGACACCTCAAATGGATAAAGAATTAGAAGAACAACTTCTCGAAGCCGGTAACAGGCTCGCAGATCCTCCAACGTCCGTAGAGGAGCTCCTCCTTCTCCTAGATGTAATAACGGTTTTTCTTTTAAGTTGTTATTTTAACCATTTTTTTTCGTGATTCATGAGATTTTTTTTGTTTTTAATTTTTGCTGCATGTGGCTCCTGCTTGTCGTTCCTTTATTCTGTGATGTACTAATCAGTGTGGTGGAGCCTGGAAATAGCAAACTCAGCCGCTGAAATTGTGTGGCTTTGTTAGATAAAGGGCGTCGAATGTTTGATTTCAAATTGTTATTCGACGACTTCAATTGTTTGGGTGTTATGGACTAGATGTGATGGTGTATCTTTGTTACAATAGACATCCTAAGATAATATAATATCACACACACACACACACATAGGTTAGGGATGTACGAGTTAGATGATGGAAGTGAAGATAATTGAATTAGGCCCTGAAACAGGCATTGTTCAGTTTCTATCAATTGTTGATCATTAGTTCACTGGTGAATGTAGTAAGTGAGGGTAAGGAATATCAAAATATTAAAAATACTAATTTTCCCTTCATATTTTGGTCCTATTCCGTTCTAAATAGTTATGTTCTGCAATAAAATTTTGGATCTTCTTGATCATAAAATAATGTATTTACATAAAATCACATGGAAGTCATTTGATACAATCCCGTTCATTCGCCAGGTTAAACATATTTTCTTGCCTTGGGCAATTTAATAGAATTTATTAATATCTTTTAAATTGATGGTAAGAACTAAATTATAGCTGTGTTACATTTTTCATATATTGGTTCCAGAATGCTGGGATTTGTGAATACAATTTTTTTAAATCAAGATACTTCACAAGGAAGAAAGTTATATTACAAAATATGGTCTAATATTGCTATGGTACAACAGATGGTGTTCACATGTATCAAATCATCAATAATTCTTTCTCGCTAGTTTCTTTTGATGACCAATATACCATTTTTTTAATTCCGAGACTCTACATTTACACATCTGGTTATGTTCCCTTACTGACTTTGTCTTTATGTTTACATTCTCTGTGCTAGTTACTAAACACTTTACATAGTTGCTGATGTTACATAAAACTCAGGTAGTCAGGTGTTGGATTTAAGATCTTTGTTGCATGTTCTTTACGAACTTTGGTTGCCCTATCTGCTTTGTTGCTGTTGCACTGTGTTTCTATTTTTTCAGTTATTTAGCATGTATTGTAAATTACAGCCGTTTGAATGACCACCACTGTTTAACTTCCAGTAACGTAGATACTCTTTAGCTTAAGAAATGATGGACAATTGTTCTGATGTAAATAATGTCTCTAATCCAGTGAATTCTAAAAAAATCATTTCTGATGCAATTCTAATAAAATAGTCCTAACTAAATTACTGGCAAAAGTATTAATTTTTTGTTTTGTTTTATATATTATATTTTCCTTTGCCCTGCAGCAAGTAGAAAGTTGTCTAGCAAGGGTGGAACAGTCACCGGCAGATTCTATGCAAAATGCACTCTCTCCATCATTGAAAGCATTGATTGCTGACCAACTTTTAAGGCACTCCGATAATGATGTCAAAATTGCAGTTGCCTCTTGCATCAGTGAAATAACAAGAATCACTGCACCTGAAGCTCCTTATGATGATGATCAAATGAAGGTTTGCACAATTATTTTTTTACTACAATAGATGAATGGACTTGACTATTATCATGCTCTTTATGAAAGACATCAGTAAATCAACTGAATTTGATTGATAACCTTTTCTTGCAGGAGGTCTTTCAACTAATAGTATCTTCATTTGAAAATTTGCATGACAAGTTAAGCCGATCATATACCAAGAGGACCTCAATTCTGGAAACTGTTGCAAAAGTCAGATCATGTGTGGTAATGCTGGACCTTGAATGTGATGCCCTGATTTCAGATATGTTTCAGCATTTCTTGAAAGCTATAAGGTAGGACTATAGTACCAGTTTTTGACAAGTTCACTGTCATCACAACTTGAAGAGATTAAAGAGCAGCAAAAATATGATGATATAGAAAATCAACCTAAATATCAACTATATTAAGAAAATTGAGGATTTATCAGAAAACAAATTAATAAAAATAAGCAATATATATATATATATATATATATATATATATATATATGTTTATTTATCTGAATCCCTGATTCTTAAAAATTTGTTCACTTTGTGTATTGTACTGAACCTAATACTTGTACTTGTGCAGCATAATTGTTACATATATATACAAATGCATTTTTCTAGAAAGTTGGAAAAAACAGAACGAGGGGGGACATGGTTCTAACCAGGTTATCTGAAAATTTCAGGGAACATCATCCAGAAAATGTTTTTTCATCCATGGAAACAATTATGACCCTTGTTATAGAGGAAAGTGAAGATATATCCTTAGGTCTTCTGTCTCCACTACTGGACAGCATTAGGAAAGACAACGAGGTTTTGACCGCTACAAATTTTAAACTTGAACCATGTTTTTGTTGTTCAAATTTTATCATTGTCTTGATGTTGATAATCATTGAATTATAGGAAGTTTTTCCAATTGCCCAAAAATTGGGGGAGAGGATCCTTGAAAGTTGTGCAACCAAGCTCAAACCCTACTTGGTTCAAGTGGTGAAATCCTTGGGTATATCCATGGATGATTATAGTTCTGTACTTGCTTCAATATGCCAAGATACATCTGATGATCTGGAGAAAAATGATACCTGTGTGACTAGTGAGCATGTTGTAAGTTTTCTGTTGGTTTTTTCTCAATTAATGTTCGAAACAGTTCATGATGAGAACATTCATGACGTTTTGTTGTGGCCATTTTGACATTTTCCAGGAAGATAAGAGTGAGTCAGCAAAACAATCACTGGAGGAGTCAACTCGTGTATGCCCCTACTTTTATGCTCCTGTTTTTTATTTGTTGTTTTAGACTTTTATCCTCTAGAATTGACACTCAAATATGTTTTGATCAGGTGGTTAAAAAGGATTCAAGGGAAGTTACATCCTCTCAACAAGAAAATCCCGATGCGAATAAATCTCCTAACTCAGTCATGAGCTATGGTGTTACATGTGTTGGAGAAGATACTGCTTTAACTGATTCCAATCCCATCAAAAAGCAAGAGGATGCTGATTGCTCTAATCACTCTGAAGGGTTGAATATATCTGGTCATGAGGTGCGTAAAGATTTGGACATTGAAATGGTTGACAATAGTAAAAAAACAGCAGGAAAATCTACCAAGAGATCACGAAAGAAATCAAGCTCTTCATCTAAATCCACAAAGCCTTCCCAGGCTCTAGTTGCTACTAATGAGAAGGAAACTGAGAAAATGCGTGACTATGAAAGCAACAGCAAAATAATTCCCAGTTCCCCACATGAGGAGCATTTTGTTGAAGCAGCAGGACCTTCAGGGAATAACAAAGAAAATGATGCTAAGATTTCTTTATCAAAGGCATTCAATGATGAATCTGAAGTTGAGGTTTCGATTCCAAGTGAAAGCCTCTATGATGAAAATCATTCCAAGAAATTTGGACGATCAAAAAAGAAATATGATCCTGTAAAAGAAGGTGCTGCAGTTGATGTTTCAAAGGTTTCTGGAGGAGCTAGTGATTCAGAAGCTAAACCTGGTAGGCGGTCAGTGAAAAAGGCACTTAGTCAAAAGTCTGATGTGAAAAAAACTAGTGTGGAAGATTCAGTAAAAAAAGGAAGTGGGGCAACAAATAATGCTGATGCAAAAAAGTACTCAGCCAAGAAATTAGATGAAAACAAAAAGGGTGGTGGTGGTGGATCCTCTTCAAGGCAGATGGAAGACAGGAGAAAGGGAGGGCGGGGGAAAGAGAAGTCTGAAACAGATGTAGCAAAAACATCTGCAATGGATGTGGACAAGGTATATTTTTGTGTGTTTTATACAGCGCTTACTTCTTTGCTATTTATCAAAATTATTGCTAAATGAATTTATTCTACTTTATTCTTTTTTAAAAGTAAAACATTAAAGGAATCATTGTTATGTTTGAAGGAAATGGTTTCTTCTCCGAGGTCTGGTATTAAATCAACTAAATATGAAAGTTCAGAGGAGACTCCCAAGACAAGTGTGAAAAGGAAACATACTGCAGGAGATGTATGTATCCTGTTTGCAACTTTTCCTTTGGAAAAGTCCTTTACGTTGCATGCCTTGCATATTCCTTAATTTTTTTTGTCTTCTTACGTTATTACTAATTATCTGCCTGTTGTATTAGGAGTCTGATACGAAAGAATATGGTGAAAACCTTATCGGTTTACGGGTCAAAGTTTGGTGGCCTAAGGATCGTGAGTAAGTATTTAGATGTCTTCAATTTTATATGCTGTCACTGGTAATTTTTGTTGACAAGCAGCTGGGAAGTGGTTTGCTGTTTTGCATTACATTTAAATTTTAATCTGTAGCTTTTTAACATATGGTTGTATGTGCTGTGTAACACTTGTTTAAAGACTTCTTAATCTGGACTAATGTTGCTTTGTGTTCAATGATCATGGTATTTGTGTTATGTATATTACATATTTACAGTCACAATTACTACATGTATCTTTGTGTAAAGTGTTTCTGTTGAAGTTATCGTGGTCTTGATGGTTAAAGTTCAAGATTTTCATTATTGTCTCATTATTGTATCTTTTGTAAAATTTAGTGTGACAAAGTTTTGATACGAAATAGACTGACAGAATATATGTTTGAATTAAACTAGTGTGTATCATCATGCACATTCTGTGTACGATCAGTTTGCTTGTTCAAATTGATGTAATGGAAACATTTAATATATATTTTCACTGACATGTAATCTGTTACATTACAGGTTTTACAAAGGTGTTATTGATTCTTTTGATTCTTCCAAAAAGAAGCACAAGGTGATTTGACTGTTTGTTAAGTCATCTCTCTACCCTTTCCACCACTGACAAAAAGCGTGATATTCTTTTTTGTTCTCCTGTGTTACATTGCCATTTTAAGTGCTTTTAACATTTGTTCTATAGTATAGATGGCTTAACATTTAGATTTGAGGGAGGGGGGAGGTTGAAAAAAACCTTAATTGTAAAGTAATTTAGAGTATTTTGGTAAAAAGATCAATGCAAGAAACAATTGGACGACAGTTTTTAAGAAATAGGAAGGAACTTTCAACAAAAAATCTTATATGACAAAGGAAGTATCTGGCAAACAAAAGTTAAACAATGATTTTTTTTTTCTATTAGCTAGAAAGAGTAGCCCGGGAACATAAAGCTATATCGTACAAGCGTTTTTTTGAAAGCTCATGCAAATGCTGCCTGTTTTATCTTCTGGCAACTTTTATGTATTTTAGGTCTCTTATGATGATGGTGATGAAGAAGTATTAAATCTTGTGAAGGAAAAATGGAAGGTCATTAAAGAGGACTCAGATGCAGAAGAGGTTGGTCTATGTCTTGTCCTTTTTACACCAAATTTTCTGCTTGTAAATTAATAACAATTATTTCTATGGACAGGATGAACGAAGCGACCACCCAAGTCTTGATGCTTCCACTGATGTGTATGTGATGCATACCGTAAATGCCAATATTTGTAGATATATTGTTTGGGTGCATTATCTTGTATTTTTCAGACATGTTTTCATGGTGCATTGTGTATGTATGTTGTGATGTTGCCCTTTTTGCTGAAATAATGTGTATCTGTGTGATCTGGGCTTAAGTTGGGGTGTGTTCGTGCTGTTGTGTGTTCTTGCTACAGATTTGTTGGGTACATTTTTGAAAGAAAGCTGCCATGATATAATATCACCCCAAAACCTGAATCTACACTTTTTTCAAATGTATATTTTGTGAATGGTGATCTGCCTATGCCCTTAATTTGGTGCTTTTGATATGATTTGTCTTATGGTATAGTTCTGAACTAGTCCCCCTCCCCCGTTCCTTTCTGTTCAGTCCAGGGTATTTAATGCTGTGTTTTATATTTAATTTTCTAATCGTGTATGTGGCCTTTAATCATTGAAGCTGTCAAAAATCCAGAATATGTAAAGGTTGTGAATTTTTAGATGGATTTAATATATTGTGTGGAATGCTGAAGGAAATATTTTAAAAATGAAAAATTACTAATATGCTAACTCATAGATTGAAAAGTTCCAAATTGTTGGACTTGGCTGTTTGTATCCCTACTGAAGCAATTGGGCTATCTGCTGCACTGGTTTGATTTTTATCAATTAAGAATGTGTTAGTAGATTGTTTACTGTTCTCCTGTTGTTTTGAAGGATCCAAATGGACATGTATTGTTCATTGCCGGATTTGCTAATTCTCTTCTATGTTGTTGCATACATTGTGTGCATTGCAGTTGTTTCCTTATTTGATCTTGTTTACATTGCATTGTTCTCTATTCAGGCCCCCAAAGAAGAAAGGGAAAACAAGTGCTGGTCAATCAACTAAGCAAGGAAAGATGGATGCTTCTTCCAGAAGGTTATTTAATATCAGTTTATCTATTTGAGTGCCAACTCTTGTAGGATATTCAAATTTTTTCCATTGATTTGCAGTGGGGGAACAACATCATCTAGTAGATCAAAAAGTGTATCCATGAAATCTAGCCACAACTCCAAGACTATTAGGAAATCTGAGGATGAAATTAATAGAAAATCCAAGGACAGCACTCCTAAAAGTGTTAGCAATAAATCTATTGTTTCTGCTAAAAAAATGAGTGATAAATTGAAAAACATTGATACTTCGAAGACCAGGGAATCAAAGGATGATGATAATACCACACCAAAGACCTCTTCCAAGTCTAAGCAAGAAATTATAAAAAGTGGAAAATCCGAGAAAGCAACCCTAAAGACTGCCATGTCCAGAGGAAAACCTCTGAAAAGTGGTGGAAAGACTGATGTTAATGGTACCGGCAAGGTGAAATCTGGTTTATTGAAGAAAAAAAAATTTGAGAATGAGAATTCAGAAGGAGAGGTAGAAGATGCCAAGGGCAAGACTTCAACTTCATTTAAGGCTCAAGAAAGTGAGCCTAAGAGTGGAAAGAAGCGGCGGAGAACTTAGAAGTGGGTATTTTTCATTGTTTATTCCTTGTCTGGGTGCTTGTCTCACCAGTTTATTCTGTCAGAGCATTTAATTTCTTCGTCATATGACCTGAGTGATTAGATGAATGTAAGGCATGTAGCAGGTTGCTGTTCATCATTCCCTGATATTGCTAGCATTGTTATCATTAGTTATTAGTTAGGCTAGTTTAGTTGTAGTATAAGCTAGTATTTTTAGTTATTCTCAGACTAGTTGGATATTTATTATTTGAAGACAACACTGGAAAATATTTGGCTAGCAACCTTTATGTAAAGAATGCTGACTACTTACGACTTACCCAATTAAAGTTTTTGCAGTGGATGGTTATTTTTTTGTTGAGACATTTTAACAGCATAATTGATGTGGGGGAAGCAATTAAAGTTTGACTGTTGGGAGACACCAAATCCTTGTTTGGTAATTGGTAGACGAAATGCTGCCTTCAGCTGTCAGTCCCTCTTAAAATAAAATCTTCTTTAGATAGGTGCAAATTGACAGAGAAGGAAAGAGTCATTTTACAAATATTAATACCTTTTCTCTTAATTTATCCTTATTTATACATAAGGATATCACGTTGGTTTTTTACTTGCACTCATATTTCTCTAGTAATCATTTCATTCAAATCAAACACACCCTTGATTTCAATATACTTCTATTAATCTGATCTTTTCTTTCATGTTTCTATCCGTTATATTTTTTCATACTTTATGGAACTTTAGCACTTTAATGGTCTGCTTGTTTATGGAACTTTAGCACTTTAATGGTCTGCTTGTTTCCAGCCCCGGTTCACGTAAATTTTGCTGATTCTAATTAAAAAATAAAAATGCTTGATCGCTTAAAAAGGAGATTTGTCAAAGAAAGTGAAGATATTAAATTAAATTGATTAAAATATTTATTATATTTTAATTAATTTTAAAAAATTATATTTTTAATTAAAATAATAAATAATTAAATAATATATTAAAAAATAAAATTTTTTATTTTAGTTTTACTTGCATTTTTTATTTAGTAATATTTTGAATTCTTTTATATTTTCTTTAAGTAATATTTTGCAATTCAGTTTAATAATAATAATTTAAAAAAAATATTTATTTTTCATCTTAATAATTTAAATCAAAATAATTTTAATTACATAAATTTTTTTACAATCTTTTAATTTATTTTATAATTTTTTAATTAAATTATTTATTTTATCATTTATATCAATCAAATTATTCTTAAATTCTCATAAACTTTCTTTTTATTTCTCTGTATTTTTTATCATTTTTTCTTTAATCTATAGAGTTTGATTTTCACTTCTCCTTCTTTTCAGATCTATTCTTTTATAATCCCAGGAATTCAGTGAATGATTTTTTTGATTTTGATTTGTATGTTTGAGAGTTCACCATTACTTAGTGCATGGATAGAAGTGATATAGTACTTTCTCAAATGAATTTTTCTTTGGTTGAAAAATGATAGTCTGAAAATACAATGAGAAAAAAATGTTAAATAAAATAATTTAATGCTGTAATGTAATCTATAATCAATTATATCAACTTAAAAAAATTATATATAATTAGATGATTTTGATCTAATTATTTATTTTCATAAAAATAAATAAATTTTATATTTTTTTAATTATTTATTATTATTTTATATTATATATATATATATATATATTTTTTTTATATATTTCTTTTCTCTTCTGCTCATACTTAGTCGTAGAAGAATATCAACATATCCTATGAATACCAAACCGATTTTTATTTAACTGAATAATTATTGTTGATTTCATGGTCAAATTTATTGGTATTATTACAACCATTCATAATTATTTTAATACTTAGAGTAATTTTAAATTTTTTTAGTAGTATTTTATATAATTTTTTTATAATAACTTTGTACAAATATGCTCCTCTAATAAAATCTACAGTCATTTTATAATAAGATATATAATCAATTAATTTTATTTTTCAGATTTGATTGTGGTTAATTATTTATAGTGAAAGAATTGTTATTAATAAATTTTAATTTTAACATTTTTTTCTTCAAAATTAAAATCAATCTAAAATATTATTACTTTTGAAATTTAAATATATATTATTGAACTTTTAATTTACATATGAAACATATATTTTATTTAAATATTTAAATACTTTTAAATATAAATAATCCATAAATTTGATTTTTTTAGTTTGTATTATCATAAAATTTTAATATTATATATATATATATATATTTTTATATTTTAAATTATTAAAATATTTTATTTCTAGTAATTTGGTCTCGATTCACCTATTAAATCTTAAACATATGTAACTGTTAATAATAATATATTATATTTAGAAATATATAAATTTATTAGAGCTATTATTTTTATTGTAAAATATAATTATCTTAAATTTATAGTTTTTATTCATTACATATAATTTTTGTATATGTAAAAAGTATTTCTTTTAAAAGTGAAAAATGACAGTATTTTAAATTGCGAGAAAAGATAAATTGTTATTATTATTATTTTGTTTATTAAAATTAATATATATTACTTTTAAAATATAACTATTTTTTTTTAAATTATGAATGGTTGTAAATAAATAAATACTAATTACAAAATATTTAAGAAGAGAAAAATTAAAGATAAATGCAATTAAAATAAACTTATGATTAAGAGAAATAAAGAAAAAAAATATAAAGTATATTTTTTCTCTCTCTGATAATTAAATAAAATAATTACAAAGAAAATTTCTTTAGCATAAATATTTTAATATTTATATTTATTACATCTGTCACATTTTTTTAATATATAAATTATAATAATTATTTTTTATATTATTTTTATTTTTAGATCATAATATGTTATATTTATGTTTTTTTTTCTTATGATCACATTAAAAGTATTATAAAGAAATCTCATATATATACAACAATAAAAATATAAGCACTTGAATATTTATATGTTCAAATTTTTATATTATTTTTTTCTATCTTTTAATAAATTTTTAAATATATAATTTGTAATAAATATTTTTCTTATATTATTTATATTTTTTATATATGTTATAATATATTATAATTATGTCATTATTTTTGTCTTCTATAATATTAAAAATAATTATAAAAAAATCTTTTTTTATATATAAAATAAATTACTCGAAACTCGAACATTACAAATATCTATGTTGATATTTTATGTATAATTATTTTCTTTTTGAAATTTTTATATCTATCTCATATTTTTTTCTATGAATTATATATAATATTTTTTATCATATAATAAAAAAATATAAAAAAGTCCTCATTATATATATATATATATATATATATATATATATATATATAATATTTTTATCTTTTGATATAATATATATATATATATATATATATATATATATTATTGTAGATAAATGTATTATTGTATGTTAGGATTTAAAAAATAAATATTACCTACCATTATATAAGAGAATAAGATAGGATTTAAGACAGGTTTTCTACTTCTTCCTCTTTCCTAGTTCTTTCCTCTGTTACTAATTTTCATCAAAGCAGGAAAAGAACAAAATAAAATAAATAACAGAGAACAACCCTAAGTTTCTGGTTCAATTAGAAAACCAGCTTCTAGTCTGGAATTGGGTTCTATTGGAACGCATCAGGACACCAATGGAGAGAAGTAGAGGAGAGAGTGTCCCCAGTGTTAGGTAAAAAAATTAGAGACTCAGATATTGCACAACCAATTATGTCTAAAGATAAAGAATTGGAAGAACAACTCCTTGAAGCCGGTAACAAGCTCGCAGATCCTCCTTCTTTGGTGGAGGAACTTCTCCCACTCCTTCATGTAATAACATTTTATTTTCCCTTCAAATATTATTTTAAACTCCTTATTTTTCCTAATTTTTTAGATTTTTTTTTTTATTTATTATTATGATTTGATAAGTGTGGGCGTGTTGGTGCATGTTGTTTCAGTGATGATACGTGTTGTATAGTATAAATGAACATGTTCAGATAATATAATCATATCATGTCATTGGTATTGTTTCTTCTCAGGAGTCCCTTCAAAAGACCCAATAATGTATATGCAATTTTCTTTTTACTAAGCTCAAATGATATGACCAGGTTCTAATTGGTAAGTGGTAAGTTGTAATACTATTAATATGCTGGAGTTGTGATTGCTTGGTCAGGGATTTATAAAGTAGATTATGAAAGTTATGTTAAATGAATTAGGTCCTAAAACGTACTTTGTTAATTTTTTTTTTATCAATTGTTAAGAAGAGTTGTATTGATTGTTGATTATTGGTTTGCTGGTGTGTGTGTTAAGTGAGGATTTAGAGTGGTGCTAGGTCTGAGGGGATGTTGGCTTTATGTATGTGATTATGGCAGACAGGTTGGACTTGTGTCACCTTAGAAATGGTTGTTTTCCCTCCAGGGCATAGGAGCACCCCCTGGACCCCATAATCTGTTGCCTCTACAACCCATATAGCAATTGTTAATTTAATATTGCATATTTTGGGTATTTCTGGATTCGTGCCATTATACAAGAGGTCTTTCATATTGGGCATGAAAGTTATCAATGATGGCTTTGGAGATTTGATGTGGAGCTAGGGGTTTCAGCTTGGGCTACCGGTGGTTAGTGGTTCATGTGTGAAAGTTTAGAATGTTTAAAGATTCGTAAAGAATGTTGCAACAACAAAGCCTTATCCCTCTAGATGAGATCCACTACCTGGATCATATGATGTTATTTTGGTTCAATTTAAGAGAAAAGTTTCAGAGATATTATTTTCTATGAGATCTATTTGGATTAATCCCTCCTGTGTCCATCTTGGCCTCATTTCTTGCACTTTGCCGGACTAAAAATCATACTAACTACTCGCTCCACTAAGGCCTTCTTTGTATTCATCCAAACAACCCTTAATCTATTTTTGTCATATTTTCCAATTGGTGCTTTGGCATTAAGGCTTTTACCTGGAATCATGTAGCAATGCTCACAAACCCTTTTATCAATTTTGGACCTTGAACTTCTACTCTTAAAAGTGAGAAGGTTTTCCTCCTGTTTCTTGAAGTGTTCATTTGAAAAGTCATCATTTATATGATTTGAACCATTTATTGTTAAATGTACCATACCAATTGAACTAGTGAAGGACATTTAGGATAAACTAATCAAGAAATATCAAAATATTACAAAAGAACTAATTAATTCTTCAAATTTTCTTGTTCCCTTTTATATTAGTTATGTTCTGCAATAAATTTAAATTTTTGTGATCATTGAAAATGAATCTACTTCACACATGGAAAACATACAATCAAGTGCATTCATTAGATTACATATATTTTTCCTTTGAGGAATTTAATAGTGTATTTAATATTTTTTAATTGATAATTATAATTAAATTGTTGTTGTGGCATATACTAGTTCTGCACTGCTTGATTTTGTGAATTCAATTATTTAAAACAAGATACTTAATAATGGAAGAAAATTATATTGCAAAATATGGATTAATATTGCTACGATACTACATGGGTGTTCACACATATCAAATTATCAATATTCCTCTTTCACTATTTTTGTGTTGGTGATCAATGTACAACTTTTGGAAATTAGAAACTGTATATTTACATAACTGGTTGTGTTCCTCCTACTGAATTTGTCTTTAAGTATATTTTTGTGTTAATTACTAGATACTGTACTGTACTGTGTATTGTATCTGATCTAACATAATCACAGGTAGCCAGTTGTTGGATCTGAGTATGTTGTTCCATGTTCTTTACAGTCTTTGACTGTCCTCTCAGCTCCGTCGGTGTTGTATTGTATTACATTTTTGTTGGTTCATTTCTCTTTTATCATTTGGTATAAATTACAGCAGTGTGCATAACTAAGATCTGTGAAAGACCAGCATTGCTCACCTTCTATCACCTAGGGACTCTTTAGGTTTGCAGGTGATGGGGAATTGTTCTGATTTAAAGTCTCTTAATTCCTGAAATTGTAAGAAAGATTGATTTTACAGTTTTATCCTCTAAATTTTTTAGTACAGCACGAGTTTGAATGTTGAACTGAGGTGAAGCTGAAAAAATCCCTCTCTGATAAAAGATATGCAAGCCTAAAAACATACACCCAAAAAAATGGTTGGTCAAAGTTTTAATTACATTTTTGTTATTTTTGATATTGTTTTTTCTTTTGCACTGCAGCAAGTAGAGAGTTGCCTATTAAGGGTTGAACAGTCACCTACATCCTCTATGCAAAATGCGCTCTCTCCATCATCGAAAGCATTAATTGCAGACAAGCTTTTGCAACACTCGGATGATAATGTCAAAGTTGCAGTTGCTTCTTGCATCAGTGAAATAACAAGAATCACTGCACCTGAAGCTCCTTATAATGATGATCAAATGAAGGTGTGCACAATTATTTTATATTTCAGTATATGGATAGACTTGACTATTATCATAGTCTTTTAAAAATACATCAGTAAAGCAATTGAATTTTATCAATGACGATTACTTGCAGGAGGTCTTTCAATTAATAGTATCTTCGTTTGAAAATCTACATGATAAGTTAAGCCAATCATATGCAAAGAGGATAGCTATTCTTGAAACTGTTGCAAAAGTTAGATCATGTGTGGTTATGCTGGACCTTGAATGTGATACCCTGATTTTGGAGATGTTTCAACATTTCGTGAAAACAATAAGGTAAGACTATAGTAACTATAATTGGGCGAGTTTGACGTCATCGTGGATTCATACATCGTGTGTGAGATATCTTAATGTTTTTTTCTTTTTTAATGCTTACCTTGTAAATTTGTATGATCTTGTGTGATTATTTATTACTTTTGTATAATTTTACACACTAATGCACAAGAACTTTAAATTTGATTTTGAATCTATATCATACGAATAGTGTTAGGTATTTTCGAAGAGGCTAACAACAAAGACATTTTTACAAATGGGATACAAGCCAACCATATAAGAGAATATGACACCACCTTTAAACTAAAACCTTAAGACATTAGGTTATGGGTATGTTATGGGTCTTTCTCACTTATAAGTTACTCAACTCTCCCATTTTTATCCAATGTGGGACTTTAAACACACTTGAATTCCCAACAATCTCCTCCTCAAATGTGATTCTCTTTCACATTGGTATACCACTCCCTCGAGCAGAAACATTTCTTAATCATGAGTACCTAGTAGTGACCTTTCTTGTATCGTCGTTTAACTCAACGAAACTCTCCCTCAAGTGTGATTCCCTTTCACATTCACCACCCCCTCATATTGGTATTCCAATCCCTTGAGCGGAAACATTTCTTAATCATAAGTACCTAGTAGTACCCTTTCTTGTATCTCCATTTAACTCAATGAGATTCCCCCTCAAGTGTGATTCCCTTACACATTGGTACACTACCCCCTCGAGCGGAAGCATGAAACATTTCTTAATCATGAGTACCTAGTAGTGACATTTCTTATATCGCCGTTTAATTCAACGAGACTCCCCCTCAAGTGTGATTCCTTTTCACATTGGCAAACCACCCCCTCAAGTTATTGTATTTATGTATTGTATTGATCCTGCTCGTACCTATACCTATGCAACGAAGTTGTTTCATATATACAATGCATTTCTTAACAGTTGAAAACACTTAGCGTGGAGGGCATTGTTCTAACCAAGACCACTTGTAAATTTCAGGGAACATCATCCAGAAAATGTTTTCTCGTCCATGGAAACAATTATGACCCTTGTTCTAGAGGAAAGTGAAGATATATCCTTAGACCTGCTGTCTCCACTTCTCACCAGCATTAAGAAAGACAAGGAGGTTGTAGTTTAACTTTTCAATTTCATTCATTAATATTGTGATTTTATAGTTGAACCTTGTTTTTGTCATTCAAAATTTTCATTGTTTTGACGTTGATAATTATTGTGATCTAGGAAGTTTTTCCAATCGCCAAAAAATTGGGGGAGAGGGTTCTTGAAAATTGTGCAACCAAGCTTAAACCCTACTTGGTTCAAGCAGTGAAATCCTTGGGTATATCTGTTGATGATTATAGTACAGTAATTGCTTCAATATACAAGGATGCATCTAATGACTTGGCAAAAAATGACACATGTGTTACTAGTGTGCAAATGGTAAGTTTTATGTTGCCTTTTTGTTGATTAATGTTTGAAACATTTCATGATGACAAATTCATGAAGTTTTCTTTTTGTTATTTTGACTTCCTTCAGAAATGTAAGAGTGAGTCAGCAAAACAACCATTTGAGGAGTCAATGCATGTATGCACCCACTTTAATGCTCTTGTTTTTTATGCATCCTGTGGTTCTAGACTTTTATCTTCCGGAGTTGCATACTCATGTTGGTTGTGGTTTGATCAGGTGTTTAAAAAAGATTCAAGGGAAGTTATACCCTCTCAACAAGAGAATCCTTATGCGAATATATCTCCAAAGTCAGTCATGAGCAATGGCGTTGCATGTGTTGGAGAAGATAATGCTTTTGTTGATTCCAAGTCCAATAAAAAGCAAGAGGATATTGATTGTTGTAATCACTCTGAAGGTTTCAACAAAACTCGTCATGAGGTGCACAATGATTTGGATATTGAAGAAGTTGACAAGATACAAAAGTCAGAACATTCTACCAAGAGACAACAGAAGAAACCAAGCAATTCGACTAAATCTGTAATACCTTCCAAAGGTCAAGTTGCTGCTTATGAGAATGGGACTGAGAGAATGCTGGACTATGAAAGCAACAGCAAGAAAGTTCCCAGTTCCCCTCGTGAGGACCATTCTGTTGAAGCAGCAGGAGCTTCAGAGAATGACAAAGAAATTGACACTGAGATTTCATCACCAAAGGCATGCAACGTTGAATCTGAAGTATCTGCTTCTCCAAGTGAAAGCTTCCATGATGGAAATCTTTCGAAGAAACTTGGACGAACAAGAATGAATGATGGCTCTGTAAAAAGAGCTGCAGAGGATGTTTCAAAGGTGTCTGCAAGAGCTAGTGATTTAGAAGTAAAACCTGCTCGTCTGTCAGTGAAAAAGGCACTTGGTCAGAACTCTGATGTGAAAACCACTAGTGTCGTCAATTCAGTAAAAAAAGGAAGTGGCTCAACAATTGATGCAAATACTAAAAAGCACTCAGCCAATAAATTAGATGAAGACAAAAAGGGTACAGGTGGATCCTCTTCAAGACATACAAGGGACACGAAAAGGAGAGGGCAGGGGAAAGCTAACTCAGAAACAGATTTAACAAAATCATCTGCTATGGATGTGGACAAGGTATTTTTTTTCTTTGGAAATGTATATTAACATTATTGCTATATGATTTATTTTTACTTTGTCCTTTTAAAATTAAAGCATCAGAGAAATCTTTGTTCACTATTTAGGAAATGGTTTCTTCAAAGTCTGGTACAAAATCAACTAAAGATGGAAATCCAGCGACTCCCAAGACAACTGTGAAAATAAAACTTAATTCAGGAAAAGAAAATGTATGGATCCTGTTCACCCTGAATTTTAAATTATATTATTGAAACTTTAAAGATATGTTGGCAACTTTTCCTGTGAAAAAGTCCTTTATTTGTTAATTCCAGATTTTTTGTTGTCTTCTTGCATTGATTACTAATCTGGGTGCTGTATCAGGTGTCTGATGTGAAGGAATGTGGTGAAAACCTTGTGGGTTTACGGGTCAAAGTTTGGTGGCCTAAGGATCGTTCGTAAGTAGTTGGCATCTTTCAGTTTATTCCTTCACTGAATTTTGGTTAACAAGGGAAAGGAAGCGCTTTGTGCTATTTATTTTTTAAATATTAATTCATAGTTTTTGAATAAATGGTATTCTGAACTGTGGTTAGACCTTAAACTGGACTAAAGTTGCAGTGTTAATGATATTTGAATTGTGTGCTACAGTCATTACTACATCTATCTTAGTTTAAACCTTAATGTAAAGTTACGATGTTCTTTACAGTTTGAGTTCAAGATTTCCCTTATTGGCTTATAAACTGCATTTTAATAGCTGCCTTGTAAAATTTATTGTTACTCTGCTTTGGTGTGAAATAGCTGGAGAGATTGTGTTTGAATTAAACTAGTGTATGTCATCATGCACATTCTATTTATGATCAGTTTGCCTGTTGATTTTTTATTTAGTAGACATATTTACTTCATATCTTCACTGACACGTAATCTGTTACAGGTTTTACAAAGGTCTTATTCATTCTTTTGATTCTGCCAAAAAGAAGCACAAGGTGATTTACCAGCTTTTTAAGTCATCTCTTGACCATCCCTTTACTGAGAAAAACTTTGTATTTTTCCTCTGTGTTTCTCTACCTGTACTACTGTTATGACACATTGTTTAATACTTTTATAAGGAAATATAGAAAAATGAATTTTTTACATTAAAATAAAATTAAACAATTAACATTCTCCCTTTCTTCAATATAAGACCATGAAACTAATTCATCTAAATTAAGAAAGTTAGTTTATGTTGTTGGTAGCATTAAATAAGTTCATTTTTGTATTTTCCAAGATTACCCTCAAATTTGGAGTCATTATTTCATTCTTTCCAATTAATTGATTCATCTTCTCCAATTCTCATAAGACAGAATAAGTTTATCTTATTAATTAGTATTTATTTATTGAATACAAAAATTGTAAAGTAATTGAAAATATTTTTGTCAACAAATAATTAAGGCAAGAAACAATTTCCAGAGGATTTTATAAAGGGACAAACAAGTTTCTTATAAACAATTAAACAGAAACGTTATCCAAATTTTCTGAATCAATAAATAATAAGGCAAGAAACCTCTTTCAAAATTATCCAAATGTACCCTATTTAATTTCTTTGTAACACCTGTTCTCTATTTTAGGTCTTCTATGATGATGGAGATGAAGAAACGTTAAATCTTGTGAAGGAAAAATGGAAGGTCATTGACGCTAACATAGATGCAGATGAGGTTGGTCTATGGCTTGTCCATTTTACACTAAACTTTCTCTTTCTAAATTAACAGCCACCATTTCTATGGACAGGAGGAACAAAGTGATCGTGCAAGTCTTGATGATTCCACTGATATGTATGTGCTGCATATTGTTAATGCTGTATTTTCCTATATTATTAAAGCATTTTGGAGTAAGCATGTATTGTGATTTTGCCCTTTAGCAAAAACTTTGTATCTGAGAGTTGGTGCTGCTGTTGTTTGTTCTTGTTGCTGATTTCTTATGGTTTGAAAGACAGTTACCATGATATATTTGACCTGAAAACCTGAACCTACCCTTTGCAAATGTATATTCTGTGAATGATGATTCGCCTGCACCCTTAATTTGGAGCTTTTGATATGATTTATCCTATGTTATAATTCTGAACTAGTCCCCCCCCCCTCTCTCGGTAGTCCAGGATACTTGTTCCTGTGTTGTATATTTGATGTTCCAATTATGTCTTTGGCTTTTAATATTGAACCTGTTAGAAATCCAGATCATGTAAGGGTTGTGCATTTTCAGTCAGATTTAAAAAATTGTAATGAGTGCAAACAAAAATATTTAAAAAACATGAAAACTGTTTAATGTGTAGCAGATTGTTTAATATTTCCTCTTTTTTTGAAGGATTCAAATGGAAATGTCTTGTTTCTTACTGTATTGTTGTGCCATGCATGGTGTTCTTAATAGCTGTGTCCCAAATTGGTCTTATTCACATTGCATTGTTCTCTGATCCTATTCAGGCCACCAAAGAAGAAAGGAAAAACAAGTATTGGTGAGTCAAGCAAAGAAGGAAAGACTGATGGTTCTTCCAGAAGGTCAGTGAATATCAGTTAATCTATTTCAGAGCCACGTCTTATTTAACATCTAATTTTTTTTACTTCAATTTGCAGAGGTGGAGCAATAGCATCCAGTAGATCAAAGGGTGCATCTATGAAGTCTAGCAACAAGTCCAAAGATGGTAACAAATCCAAATATTTCAAGACTATTAACAAATCTGAAGATGAAGTTAGTAGAAAATCTAAGGACAGCACTGCTAAAATTGATAACAGTAAATCTATTCTTGCCGCTAAAAAAATGAACAATAAATCCAAAAACACTGATACTTCCGAGACAAGTGAATCAAACGATGATGACACTAGCATGCCAAAATCCTCTTCTAAGACTAAGCAAGAAACGTCCAAAAGTGGAAAATCCAAACTAGAAACCCTGAAGACTACCATATCGAAAGGAAAACCTCTTAAAAGTGGTGGAAAGACTGATGTTAATGGTGGTGGTATGGTGAAATCTGCTTTGTTGAAGAGAAAAGATTCCAAGAATGAGAACTTGGATATCTCAGCAGGAGAAGTAAAAGATGCGAAAGGAAAGACTTCACATTCATCAAAGGCAAAAGGAAATGAACTCAAGAGTGGAACGAAGCGTCTGAGAAGCTAGAAGTGGGTATTTATTCTGGCTGTTTATTCCTTAACTGGGTGCTTGTCTTCTACTTATCAGTTTTTACCCTTCGCAGCTTTTAATTTTCTCTTCCTATGGCTGGAGTTATCAGGTAGCTGTTCATCGTTTTGTGGTAATTATCTTCTTGTTGCTACTAACTTTGTTAGTTAGGCTAGTTTAGTTGTAGTATGTTCTAGTATCTTTAGTTACCTTTCCATTGTTTCTAGACTAGATGGATGTTATATGAAGGGCAACACCGGAACATAGTTGGCTAGCATTCATTTAAAAAAATGCTTTGGCACTAATGATCCATAAGTATTGATAAATGTAGTTATTTATTATCATAGAAATTCACTATATCAGAACAGGATGCATGATATAAGAACATTTAAAGTAACCTATGTTGAGTATTTGTTAATTAAAATGCTTTGATACTAACTTTTTTTAACAAACGGGTATGATACATGGGTGAACTCAATTATGGACAGAAGACTTGGAAATTATTAATTAGAATAGAGGAGATTATATCACCATCCAACTATTAAGCCTTTTTATTTATTTTATTATTTGAAGCTTTTGATAAATCAATTTCTACATGGTTCAATCCTCTTTTGAATTTTTCAATCTTGTTCAATTAAATCATTTTTTGCATCAGATTACTTAGTGATGTCATTTGCTTGTCTGATTATACTTTGTAATCCTTTTCTTGTCATTATGAGGTTTAATATTTCTAGTGTTTGTAGTACTGCAAGCCTCTTTCCTTTCAAAGAGGAATGTTTAATGCCTTTACATTATGGATATTTAGAATAGCAATCAAATATCCTTCCTCCCATTCATATGCATTTTTCTTCTCTAACATTTTATTATTCATTCTACTGTGTGCATATATAGTATTTCAATTTTCATTCTATTAAGTATGCTGTGAATGTTGATGATACAATCATGTTACACTTTTCCGTGATCGTTATAATATTGTCAATAAAGGAAAATTGTACATAATTTTAGTTGTTCCTCGGAATATGTTAATCATCCTTCAATTGGGTGATGTTGTACTCTTTTATTACTAGAATAGAAATGTACATCAACTACATTCATGGACTGCTTTTCTCTAATGATTTATAACACTAGATTTCTTGTTGATTTACAAATATGTATGCTTTCAAAAAATTAAAATATAATTATAAATCCTGTTCACCAGAATCTTTCGTCAACAAAAGGGTATAATTAAATATAGAGTTTGTATAAACGAGTGAAGGAAAAACCGAGTTATGAGAAGACAAAAAGTGGTCATATTTATGGGAATTAGGAACATGATTATCGCTTATGCATATCTGCCGAACGTTACGCAATGTGATTTTGATTTTAAAAGTTACGCTAAAATATAATATAGCAATGTAAGATTATCAATTAGTTCTGTCTTAATTGTATTTTAATTGTATTTTAATTTATTAACTATTATCATTATATGATTTTGGCCGTTTAACTCATTTAGATTGTGATGAATTCGGCTCTATATACAACAGAAGAAAAAAGGAAAATTAAATAAAATGAAATTGTCGATAAATTAAATTATAAAAATATTATTAATTGATTTTTATATAAGTAATTATGAAAAATTGTATGAAAGTAATTTAAATGACATTCATCTCTCTAATATTTTGTTTTATTTTATTTTATTTTTTACATTTTGGTCTGGGTAATATAAAAAAAAACTTCTAAGTGCCACTTTAAAATAATATATGGTTTTTCGAAAAATGTAGAACACATAACATTATATTATATTTAAATAATTTATAATTGATTTTATTGTAATAGATTTTGTTAAAGAAATTATAAAAAAATATTATTTGTTCTTGTTTATATTTTTTATTAATTTTTAAACATTTTATTATATTTTTTCAATAAAAAAATGATTTTAATTGTGTAATACTCTTAAGTTTTTCCATGGTTAATGATAAAGTGAAAATGTAGAAAATAAAATAAAAAGTTAAAGAGAATATGATATGAAAAAATTAAATAATAAATTAATTAGTTAAAATCAATTATACAAATACAGATTTCTCTATACATTTTATTTTTTAAGGAGATGATAAATGGGTAATTTAAAAATATATATTTTTAATTTTTTACTGTTATTTTTTTTTAAGTCTAAATATAAGTTTTTTGACATGTGAGATTAAAACAGTAAAATTATGAAAAAGTTATTTTTTTTATTTTATAAAAAAAATCTATAAAAATTAAATTAATCTGAATAATAATAAAGTAGGGTGTATATATTTGAAGGTAAAGATAACTTTAAAACAATAACATTAAATAAAGTTGGTATGGCTGAATATATATATATAAAAGAGTCATTTAATTGAAAAAAATGTTTTACAAGGATAGAAGAGAAGATTAACATTTACAATAACCATAGGTGTAGACTAAAATACTTGTATATTATAAAATCTCTACATTTTTTTTTATAATATTCATAAAACATAAACATAATCTTAAAAGAAAAAGTTATTGTAAAATATCTTAAATGTCACATTGATTTTAGATTATGATTAATTTATTATTACCATGATCTTTATTATTGTCAGAATCATCACTGTCACTGTGTCCTTTTTATATATTGTTGAAATAATTATCATCATCAATGAAACTATCAGCAGGACTGTAACACCATTGTTGTTATTTATATTATCACAATTATTGGATGGAAAAAAATGATAAAATTGTATTTTAATTTAAATAATAAAAAATAATGATAAAATAAATGTATTAAAGGAGTTATAATATATTTAAGGAGATAAATATCTGTCATTTTTGTTAAATAGGTTAATTGAATTATAGTGACAACTTTGATTTCTTGTTTGGAAATGGAGTTTATACTAAAACTTAAAAAACACCCAAAATAATAATAACAAAAAAAAAATGGTGTCTCAATTTTAAAATTATTTAAAGATTTCATGGTGAGATTTATTCTTAAATAAAAAAAATGAAATAACGTAATATCTCAATATAAATATTTCTTTAGCACGTTATAATATATATATATATATATATATATATATATATATATATATATATATATATATATATATATATATATATATGGATTGATATAACAAAATTTGGTGACAAACGAAAGTAGAAAGAAAATGTTCAATTTTGATTAAGAAAGTTTATAACTTAAATGTTAAAAATATGATTTTTTTTTCCTCTAAACATCATTCTTTCAATGATTTCATTTGGTATTAATTTTAATAAATGGTCATGTAATTTTATTATTTAACTACAAGCTTTAATTTTAAAATAAAAATATATAATAATTATTATTCAAATAACGATTCATTATCCTTCACTATATTACAAAATATAAATAAAAAATATTTTTGGTAATAAAATACTATTTTATAAAGAATGAAAAGGTAGTAGATGCTATCGTAAATCAATTAACTACTTGATAGAATTTATGAGAAATTTTCCTCTCCAAAATATTTCGAAAAAGGAATCTTACTTTGTATCTCTCTGTATTCTGTTCTCATTATTGGCAAGGAAAAGGGGAAAAAGGAAAGAAAAATTAATTGAAAAAAACCCTAATTTTCTCGTTCCATCCACATCTAGTCTCATATCGGGTTGGATTGGAACGGTTTCTGGGCAAAATGAAGTGAAGCAGCCCGAGTCTGTAGAAGATCGAGAGGAAGAGACGCAGAGACGGCAAAACCAATGGCGTCTACGGATAAAGAGTTGGAAAAGCAACTTCTTGAAGCCGGCAACAAGCTTGCAGATCCTCCGTCGTCGGTGGAGGAGCTTCTCTCACTTCTAGACGTAACAACGCTTTCTCCCTTCAAAAGTTATTTTAACACTTTCTTGTGACATTCGATTGTTTTGTATTTTATTATTTGATGCGATGCATGTAGATAACATTTTTCATTCGCTCAATCTGTTGTATTTTAATCAGTGGAATGGAACCCAAATCGCAATATCGCGACTGAAATTGTCTGACTTTGACGTTTTGTTGCGATTTTGATAAAAAAAAAAACGAGTGATTGGAATATATGATGTCAAACCGTTATTCTTATTCCTAAATTGGCTTGGCTGTGATGGAATAATGATTATTTATGTAAGGATTTAATAGTTATCCTAAGATAATATAATTATGTCATCTATTTTTCACTTCTAAACGCCTTTTTTGAAGCTATGGAGTTCTAATTGGTAAGTGGTGATTGATAATACTATTTCCAGGCTGGAATTGATTATAATCAATGTCAATGATGTATGAAGAAATTGAATTAGGTCATGAAAAAAACTTTATTTAATCTTTGTTGCACTCGCTTCAGCATTAATGGTTGTCCTCCCCAGACATTATCGGAGCAACTTGCAATTTGCTGCATGTATACCAAAGCCAGCAAGCTCATCCACCACCCATTTGTTGTTGGCTTGTTGCTATAATTTGGGAGATTTGTGGCGAGGGCACAAAAGTTATCAATGATGGGTTTGGAGATTGGTGGAAGGTCTATCGTATTAGCTTGGGCACTAGTGGCTAGTGATTCATGCGTGAATTTAATAATGTCTTGTGAGGAGAATGTGTTGCAACAACTACAAAGCCCTATCCATCTACGTGAGGTTGATTACATGGATCACACAACATCATTAAGATAATAGTTTCAAAGATATTATTTTCAACAAGATCTATCTGTACTAATTTTTCCAATCTCCTTCCTGGCCTCCATCTGCTGTACTTTACCAGACTAAACTCCATAGATCTATTCTTCTCAATGGTATTCCCTGGGGCCTTCTTTATAAATATCTAAACAACTTTAGTCTGTTTTCTGTGACTTTTTTTCTTAATTGGTGTCATACTAATTCTTCTCATATATAATCATTTTGTGTTTTGTCTTTTCTTGTATGACCTCATATCCATCATGACATTCTCATTTTCACCACTCTGACTTTTTTCTCGTTGTTTTTGTAAATTCATGACCATAGAGCATAGTTGGACATAGTACAAAACTTGCACTTGAATTTCATACGTACTTTTTGTAGTCACAAATACCTTCATATGTCCTTTTCCATTTTAGCCATTCTGTCCTGTCTACATTCTAACATCCTGGGTGTGACTTCTTTGTTAATCTCCCCATCATTTTGTAGTAGTCATCCCATGTATTTAAACTATGAAACCTGTGGTATGACATCTTCTCTTTTTACATCAACCAGAGATTCTTCCTGTCTCTTGCTAAAATTATAATTCCCATACACTATCTTATTCCCACTTGTTAGGTGTTCTCACACTAGCTGTTTCCCTCATATATGGCTTGTATAACAATATAAGCCATTCTAACACCTTTCATTTTCAAATTTATCCACAACGATTTTCTTGGCACTTAGCCATAAGCTTTTTCCAAGCCAATAAAAACCATAAACCTTTTTCTTTGTTTTTTGATACATTTCCATAAACTCCTTAAAAGATAAATTGCTTCTGTTGTAAACCTTCAGGAAATAACCGAACTGATTCTTTATGGCCTCTTAATCTATGCTCAATCACCCTGAGCCATAGTTTCATAAGTTTTATATCTATATAATGACACAATTACCAATATCTCCTTTATTCATGAATATAGGGGCCAAAGTGCTCTTCCTCCACCCATCTGACATTTTCCTAGGTATAAAAATCTCATTAAAATGCTTAGTGAGTGAAATGATACCTTGTTTTCCCGTACACGTCCAAACTTCAATAAGTATACTATTTGTTCTAACAGCTTTGCCATTATCTATTCTATTTAGGGATCTGCTTTACTTTTCCAAATTAAATTCTAATATAACAAGCTAGTTTCTGTTCATGTTCTTGTATTTCTAGTCCTTCCGTGCTAGGAGTCAATTTTCATCATTGAAAACCTTATAAAATTAATTCTCCCTACTCTTCTATATATCGTGATTTAACCACTTTACTTTCTTCAACCTTGATACATCTTGCATTCTTAATCCAAAACTCTTGTCTATCTTTTCTCTATTTTTGGCAAGCTTGCATATCTTTGTCACGAGGTCTTTGTATAACTCTTCAAAAACTTATAGATGGTGGTGCTTCATGCACTGCTTCTTAAACCATTTTCTCTTGTTCCTTACTTGGGCTTTGACATTTTCATTCCACCACCAAAATTCTCTTTCTCTTGCTTCACCAAAAACTTATTTAACAACCTTCCTTATTTTCTTAGTTATTTCATCCCACATGATGGTAGCACCACAAACTGATTCCCAATTACCTTCGTCCAGTATCTTTTGATTAAAAGTGGAATAATTATTTCCCTTAAGTTGGCACCTCTGGATACTTAGATTGGTAACTCGTCATGTTTTCTGTTTATGCTTTTCACGACGAACATCAAGGATCTAATGTCTATGTTGTGTGTGTAGTAAGGCTCCCTCTTGGTATCACCTTCCAATCCTTACAAACCCCTTTATCAATGCATCATACTAGAATGAAATTATTTTTTGTTGTTTCTTGAAACAAATGTCAAATATCCTGAAGTCATTTTTATAATCTGAGCCATTTAATATTAAATATACCCTTTCGATGGATGTGATTTAATCTATGGTTCACCTTGGACAAACCATAAAAAAGAATCCAAAACCGTCAGAGAACTAAAGAAAGACTTCTTTAGGTGAAATACAAATATCAAACTATTAAAAAACTAACTAATTTTATCTTAAGTTTTTCCTGTTCCCTTGTAGGTTAGCTATGTTCTGCAATAACATTTTACTTCTTCATCATTGAAAATGTGATACAATAACGTTCATTCACTAGGTTAAATATATTTTCATGCTTTGGGATATTTAATAGTGTATTGATTGCATGGATAATAAAAGTAAGCTATTGTTGTGGCATATTTTTCATATTGGTTCCACTCTGCATGATTTTGCGAATGCAATTTTTTAAAAGATACATTATAAACGAAGAAAATTATATTGCAAATGTGGACTTATATTGATATGGTACAACAGGGTGTGTTCACACATGTTAATTAGAAACTGTATATTTCCGTAACTGGTTGTGTTCCTTTTATTGAATTTGTCTTTTTGTATACATTTATTATGTTAAATACTAAATGCTGTTTATATTATTTACTCTTACATAAATATATGGTAGTCAGGTGTTGGATTTGAGATTTTTGTTGCCTTCTCTGCTCTATTTGTGTTGTTTTGTGTAGCTGTTTCGTTGGGTCATTTAACTTATATTATAAATTACAGCTGTGTGCATAATTAAGTAGTGTGAAAGACTAGCATTGTTTAGCTTCCTGTCACCTAGGCACTGTTTACCTTTGCAGGTGATGGAGAATTGTTCTGATTTAAATATTGTCTCTGAACTCAGGCAACTATAAGAAAGGTTATTTTATAGTTTTAGTATCGAAAAAATATTTAGTACATCACGAGTTTGAACTTTAAAGTGAGGTGAAGGTGAACAATTCCTCTCTGATAAAAGATATGCAAAGTCTAAAACATTGTCCTAACTAAATGGTTGGTCAAAATACTAAATAATTTTTTTGTGATTTTACATATTGTGTTTTCCCTTGCCCTGCAGGAAGTAGAGAGTTTCCTATCGAGGGTTGAACAGTCACCTTCCAACTCTATGCAAATTGCACTCTCTCCATCATTGAAAGCATTGATTGGAGACAAACTTTTAAAGCACTCAGATGATGATGTCAAAGTTGCAGTTGCCTCTTGCATCAGTGAAATAACAAGAATCACTGCACCTGAAGCTCCTTATGATGATGATCAAATGAAGGTGTGCATAATTTTTGCTGCTGCTGTATATGAATGGACTTGACTATTATCATACACTTTACAAAAGACATCTGTAAATCTATGAGATCAATTGAATTTCACCAATGACATTTTCTTACAGGAGGTCTTTCAATTGATAGTGTCTTCATTTGAAAATCTACATGATAAGTTAAGTCGATCGTATGCAAAGAGGACCTCAATTCTTGAAACTGTTGCAAAAGTCAGATCATGTGTAGTAATGCTGGATCTTGAATGTGATGTCCTGATTCTGGAGATGTTTCAGCATTTCTTTAAAGCAATAAGGTACCCTTCATAGTGAAATTGGGCTTCATCATGGATTCAGATACTTTGTCATCTATGATTCTACTTCAAACACAATTTAATTATTCTGATCTATTACTACTTAGTCTGTGTTAGCTGTCTTAATGTGTGCTTATGTTTTTTTCTTGCTTAGTACCTTGTAAACGTATAGTAGTGTGGTTGCTGATTACTTCCTTCCCTTCCATATATTTTAACAAAAATACTTTAAATTTGACAATGTATAACTTGAAATAGATAATAGGAAAATAAACGATATTTTTGAGAGCTTGAAACTTTTCTCTTGTGTTCTCTTATTTATAGGAGATAAAAATACATATTTTGAGATACAATAAATAGAGAAAAATGATTAAACCTAGAGAAGATAAACAGATACATTCTAGGAACTAGGTCACTAGTTAGATACAGCTAATCTAATAAATACTCAACAGTATACATATTGTGCCTCTAGTGGATATTTACAGTCTGATTATGACTCTCCCTGTTAGAACTTACCGGCAATATCTTCAGCCCCCTTTTGTACTTGTTTTCTTTTATTTAATTTGGTTACAATTATTTTTCAATAACTCTTGCACGAGATTAAAGACCACAAAAATATAATGATAATAGCAAATCAAGCTAATTATCAGCTATATTAACATAATCTATAGAAATCAAGTTAATAAAACATATGCAACGTATAAATATAATTATAATTATATTTTGCTTAGCATAAAATTATTATCCTGATTTTTTAAAAAATTATTAAACACAATGTTTGTATTTGTACCTGTGCAAAATAGTTGTTCTTGTATACTAATGCATTTTTTTAGACTGTTGGAAATACTTAATGTAGGGTGGGGAACATCTTTCTAACTATGGTCATTTGAAATATCCAGGGAACATCATCCAGAAAATGTTTTTTCATCCATGGAAACAATTATGACCCTTGTTGTAGAGGAAAGTGAAGATATATCCTTAGACCTGCTGTCTACACTTCTGGCCAGAGTTAAAAAAGATGATGAGGTTGTAGTTTGGGAGTTTCAATTTTATTCCTTTTAGTTGATTACGATTTTGAACCTGAACCTTAGTTTTGTTGCTCAAATTTTATTATGGTTTTGACGTTGATAATCATTGTGATCTAGGAAGTTTTTCCACTTGCCAAAAAATTGAGTGAGAGGGTCCTTGAAAGTTGTGCAACCAAGCTTAAACCCTATCTGGTTCAAGCAGTGAAATCCTTGGGTATATCTATGAGTGATTATAGTTTGGTACTAGCTTCTATATGCCAAGATACATCTGATGACTTGGAGAAAAATGATACATGTGTTACCAGTGAGCACGTGGTATGTTTTCTGTTGGTCTTTTGTCAATTAATGTTATCTGTTGGAGAAAAATTATTGACACTTTATTTTCTGTCATTGATTTTTTTCAGGAAGATAAGGGTGAGTCAGCCAAAAAATCACTGGAGGAGTCAACACATGTATGCCCCCACTTTAATGCTCCTGTCTTTTTAAATGTCTTGTGGCTGTAGATTTTATCATCTAGAATTGAACCCTGGAACATGTTGATTGTGGTTTGATTAGGTGGTTGAAAAGGATTCAAGGGAAGTTACTCACTCTCAACAAGAAAATCCTGATGTGAATATATCTCCGAAGTCGGTTATGAGCAATGGTGTTGCATGTGTTGAAGAAGATACTGCTTTAGCTGATTCCAAGTCCATTAAAAAGCAAGAGGATGCTGACTGCTCTAATCACTCTGAAGGTTTGAATATATCTGGTCATGAGGTGCGTAATGATTTAGACTCTGAAAAAGTTGACAATAGTAAAAAAAAAGCAGAACAATCTACCAAAAGACGACGAAAGAAATCAAGCTCTTCAACAAAATCTGCAAAAATTTCCAAGGATCAAGTTGCTACTAATGATAAGGAATCTGGGAAAATGCTTGATAATGCAAGCAACAGCAAGAAAGTTCCCAGTTCCCCTCATGAGGACCATTTTGTTGAAGCAGCAGGACCTTCAGAGAATGACAAAGGAATTGATGCTAAGACTTCATCACAGAAGCCATGCAATAATGAATCTGAAGTTGCTTCTCCACCAAGTGAGAGCCTCCATGATGAAAATCGGTTAAAGAAACTTGGACGAACTAAAAAGAAAGACGACCCTGTAAAAGAAGGGGTAGGAGAAGATGTTTCTAAGGTGTCTGGAGGAGCTAGTGATTCAGAAGCCAAACCTGCCAGGCGGTCAGTGAAAAAGGCTCTCGGTCAGAACTCTGATGTGAAGAAAGCTAGTATTGTAGATTCAGTTAAAAAAGGAAGTGGGACAGCAAATGATGCAGATACTAAAAAGCATTCAGTCAAGAAGGTAGATGAAAACAAAAAGGGTAGTGGAGGATCCTCTTCAAAGCAGATTGGGGATAAGAAGAAGGGAGGGCGGGGGAAAGCTAGCTCTGAAACAGATGTAGCAAAATCATCTGCCATGGACGTGGAGAGGGTATTTTTCATGCTTTTTACAGTGTGCTTCATTGCTTCTGTATATTATTATCAAATTGCTGTATGATTTTATTTTGCCTTGATCTTTTTACAAGTAAAGCATTAAACAAATAAAACTTAATTATTTAGGAAATGGTTTCTTCTCCGAGGTCTGGTACTAAATCAACTAAAGATGAAAATTCAGAGGAGACTTCCAAGACAAATGTGAAAAGGAAACGCACTTCAGCAAAAGAAAATGTATGTGTCCTTTTCCCTCTGTATTTTTAAAATATGGTACTGAAACTCCAATAGATATCTCTTAAGGGAATCTTTCCTTTGGGAAAATCCTTTATGTAGCTTGGTTTTGCTAATTACAGAAGTTTCACTGTCATCTTGCTTTCATTGCTAATGATCTTTTTGCTGTACCAGGAGTCTGATGTGAAGGAATATGGTGAAAACCTTGTTGGTTTACGGGTCAAAGTTTGGTGGCCTGAGGATCGTGAGTAAGTACTCATGACTTTTTATTTGGCATTTACTTTCAAATTGTAATCTCTAGTTTGTTTTAGAATATATGGTTGTCTGGGCTGTGGAAACACTTATATTTACACCTCTTAATCTGGACTAATGTTTTTTGGTGTTCATGATGTTTGCATTATTTGTATTACAGTCACAATTATTGCATGCATGCTTACTTTTGTAAACCTTTCTGTTGAAGTTATTGTGGTCTTGATGGTTTGTATTCTAGATTTTCTTTATTGGCTTATATATATATATATATATATATATATGTGTGTGTGTGTGTGTGTGTGTGTGTGTGTGTGTGTGTGTTTGATTTACCTCATCTGTTTGTATGTCAAGCTTATCTTGTCGTAATTAATATAGGTTATATGTTTGATGTGAAATAGCTAGAGAGAATATATGTTTGAATTAAACTATGGTATATCATCATGCACATTCTATTTATGATCAGTTTTCTTGTTCATTTTTATATAGTAGAAATATTTATTTTAAATTTTCACTGACGCCTCATCTGTTACAGGTTTTACAAAGGTGTTATCCATTCTTTTTATTCTGCCAAAAAAAAGCACAAGGTGATTTGACAGTTTATTTATATTTAGTCATCTCTCTATCTTACCCCTTCCCATTATTGAGAAAAAACCTTTTTATTCTTTTTGTTTATTTGTGTTGCTATGCTCATTTAAGCATCTTAGGCATACATTTGAATTGGAGCCTTTTATGAAGGAAAAACAAGAAAAATAAAATTTTACTTATTGAAGAAAATAATGCTAATTATATTTTGAACTTAATTTCTTTTGACCTAATTAATTAACGTGTGCTGATCATTTTCTCCACTTCTCACAAGAGAAAAAATGAATTTATTTTATCAATTTATAGTATTTATTTATTGAATACGGAAATAGTAATGTAATCAAGAGCACATTGGTAGAAATATAATTAGTGCAAGAAAAAATTTCTGAAACACAAATTTCTGAAAGATGTAGGGATAGAAGTAGTTTTTCTATAAAATAAAAGAAAAACACAATGAAAAAGAAAGTCATTTTTGTGTTTTTCTCATGAGGTAGAAAGAGTAACATGTGAAAAAAAAAAAAAAAAAGCTATTTCACAAGATCAAGTTTTTGAGACTAATTCAAAAGCACCATATTTTATCTTGACTTATGTTCTCTATTTTAGGTCTTGTATGATGATGGTGACGAAGAAACATTAAATCTCGTGAAAGAAAAATGGAAAGTCATTAAAGCTGACTCAGATGCAGATGAGGTTGGTCTATGACATTTCTTTATGCACCAAATTTTCTCTGGATATAAATTAATGGCAATTATTTTTCTGGACAGGAAGATCGAAGTGATCGTGAAAGTCTTGATGTTTCCACTGATATGTATGTGCTGCATATGCTTAATGTCATTTTTTATAGATACATCTTTTGTTTGTATTATTCTATATTTTTTACACATGTTTTAATGGGGTGTGCGTATATTGTGATGTTACCCTTTTTAGAAATTCTGTACATGTGTTATTGGTTTATCAATTAAGAATGTGTTAGTTGATTGTTTAATGTTTCTCTGAAGGACTCAAATGGAGCTGTCTTGTTTATTGCCATATTTTGTGATTTTTTTTTTTTTATGATGTGGTATACATAGTGTGCTTCTAGATGTTCCTTTATTTGGTCTTGTTCACGTTGTGTTGTTATCTGATCCTGTTCAGGCCACCGAAGAAGAAAGGGAAAATAAGTGCTGGTGAATCAACCAAGCAAGGAAAGGTGGATGCTTCTTCCAGAAGGTTGGTGAATATCAATTAATCTATTTCATTTTCGCCTCCTTTTTATATCTAAAATTTTTTCTTCAATTTGTAGTGGTGGAGCAGCAACATCCAGTAGATCAAAGGTTGCATCCATGAAGTCTAGCCACAAGTCCAAAGATTCCAAGACTATTAGCAAATCTGGGGAAGGAGTTAGTAAAAAATCTAAGGACAACACTCCTAAAACGGGTAGCAGTAAATCTGTTGTCGCTGCTAAGAAAATGAGTCATAAATCCAAAAACCCTGATACTTTCAAGACAAGCGAATCAAAGGATGATGACACTATCAAGCCAAAATCCTCTACCAAGTCAAAGCAAGAAACTCCAAAAAGTGGAAAATCCAAGCAAGAGACCTTGAAGAGTGCCAATTCAAAAGGTAAACCTCTCAAAAGTGGTGGAAAGAGTGATGTTAATGGTACTGGGAAGGTGAAATCTGGTTTATTGAAGAGAAAATATGCTGAGGATGAGAATTCAGATGCATGATCAGGAGAGGTTGAATATACCAAGCGCAAGACTTAAAGATCATCACATGTACAAGAGAGTGAGCTCGAGAGTGGAAACAAGCTTCAGAGAACATAGAAGTGGGTATTTATTCTCGCTGTTTATTCCTTAACTGTATCAGGTAGCTGTTCATCATTTTGTGGTAAGCATGATTTTCTCCATTTATTAGCTAGGCTATCTAGGCTAGTTGAGTTGTAGTATGGGCTAGTATCTTTAGTTTTACATTTGTTTCTAGTATGGAGGGATGTTATTTAAAAGGTGGTAACACTTGAAAATATTTGGCTAGCAATCTTCATTTACCGAATGCTTTGACACTGCCTGATACTGACGGGTTGACTACTTACTCCTACCCAATTAATGTTTTTTGCATTGTTCAGTGCTGAGCTGTGGTTGTGTTGTTGTTTTGTTGGGACAATACGTACAGCATGATTGATGTGGTGGAAGCTAATCTTTGTACGGTTTATTTGGTTTCGATTTGCATGTTTGGGCTATCAACATTATTAGTCAGTGAGTACATGCATATCACTGCACTACATTACTTTCCAGAGAACCCTCAGTTTGTTTCAGTATTCCAAACTCCACAAACATCCGCCCTTTGATTTGGATATCGCTACCAATCTAAAGATGATACTCTGGAGTTCAAATATCCGAGTCGAATGTGGCCAAATTTGTTGACGTTGTCCATCATAAGAAAATGATTGTGTCCAATAATTCATATTTCACGTTGATGCACACGTTTTCATAGTCGAAGTACGCAAACCTTGTTGCATAGATTAGACCCTTACTCACCCTCACCATGACTCGATTCTGTTTTGTAATTAAAAAGCCAAAACCGAAAATAAAAGTAGGAAAAAAAAAATTCAAGCAAACGTTAAGGAAGAGCCTTTGTGGCTGCGCCTTCAACGTTTTTGAACTTTATGTTATGGTATTTTGGAGTTTTAGGGTGAAATGTGACCGTATCAAGTATTTTATTAGTCTATATGGTGGGCCTAGGTTGACCGTATGTTACAGTCTCAACTAATTATTTTATGAGACTTCAGTTTATTAAGTTGGGCCAAGAACACATTTCATTAGCACAAGGAGGAAAGCTTGGTTTTTCTGTTTTTAATTTTTGTTTTCAATTTGAATCATATTAGTAGATGATTAATCTAATCAACAATGACTTGTGATTACGAAAACAAACGTCTTCAGCGATTATATTCAGCTTTAATTTTTAAATATGTCGTGGTACGAGTCACACGAAACTTCAGCTTTAATTTTTGACGATGGTTTAGATCTTTCAAAAACTTCATATTAATAAAAGGTTGGTGCTGTCTTCATTTGTGAATTATTGATCTGAAAACTACACCCCCACAGACTATGTTCCAATATCCCCTTTCTTGTTACAGACAATAGATAGTGGTGGTTTTGTCTTTCCATGATTTGTTGGTTGTTGTTAGAACTCCAAATCTTTAGCTTCTTTTGATCGTTAAAATTATAATGTAGCAACTTATTGCTCATTATTATTTATTAGTCTTTTCTACTCTTTTTTTATTGGTCAAACGTTACTGCAAAGTGAAGTTACAAGAGGCCAAAACCCAATTGAATATATTGGTCGTGCAAAAGTTACTTTGCTTTTGTCCTCTTGCTAAAGGCACGTATATTGATTATCAGTGATCTCCAATCACAGTTTTATACTTTTTGAATTCATTTGCAAACTTCTCCTTTTCCTTTCTTGCTGCATATTCTCTTTCTGATGGATATTAATTCATGCATCAGATGACCGCACTTTGTCAGAATATATATAAAAAGAGAAATAGAAGAGGATTCATAACTTCTAAGAATAAAAAGGAAGAATTACTCGTCATCTTTACTATTTATCTTCTTATAATTATATTATTGATATTGGATTATTAAATGATAAATAAGTTTATTAATGATATCACACACTATAACATTTTTTTTATAAAGGAGAGTTTTCAACACGGGCAGACGAGTGAGAAAAATTAATCATAACCACAAATAACTAATAAAGAGTTACATTAAATTATAATATATGTTTCTACTGTAGGATTGTTAGATAAACTCTACATTTAATTTTAATTTAATATTTATAACAATTTACTTTTGTACAAGTTATAAATTAAAATACGCGATAGACATAATTAATACTTTTATTTTCTATTGCTTAGGGGTATTTCACAAGTGGCTGAAAACTCTTCAAAAACTTTAAACTATCTTCTTTTTTTAATCTATATGTTTGATTTTATAAATTGTTTCTTTCTTTTTAACCTTTTATTAATTGCGCATTCCCTTTTATATCTCTATCGTCAAATTGAATTTTAATTGTGTTTTTCTTTAATTGTCATTAATTAAAAATAATATTATATTATAACAAAATATTATTGCAAAATGTAAATATTTTATTTATTCAAAATAAATTTAATTGTAAAATAACTTATATAATTAAATATTTACTTATTGGTTTAAAATTATATAAAAATAAACATATCTGGTGCAAGAAATAATTACATTATAGTGCCTCTGTAACCACACCCAAACTCTTACGTAGGAACTTTCTTTTGTAAGTTTTTTCTTTTAAATCTTTCATCGCATTAAACCCAAAACAAAAGCAACATCTCAGGAAACTAATTCAAAACATACTATCTAATCCTAGTAAAATTTAAGTAAGCAAAACACCACTTAGTTATGTATGATAATTCTCTTATACTATCCCCAACATGACATGGTAAACTTAGTTTAAATAAAGTAAAATTTATTTTATCATTTAATATCAGTTTGTCCTGTTATATATGTTGAAAAGGTACATGAAAATTAAAGGAAAAATATTAACTGTTTTTTTTTATAATAACTGTTTTAAATCTCATAGTAATTATATTTTTTTAATTAGTTGGTAATGTGAAAACATTTACTATTGTCAACCATTAAAAATACTAAAAAATAAAGAGTTTTATAAAAAAATTATTAATCTTATGACATATGCTAATTTATAACTAATATAAAAATTATACTACCAATATGTATTTACATTGAGTGCTTATTACAATTGTTTTAAAAAATCCCATTAATTGAAAACAGACATTTTTTAAGACGTGAAAATTAAACCTTAAAAATAAATGAGGAAAGCAAGTTGTCTGTATGCACATGGGTTGCAAGTTGTAACTCTCCACCCCACCTGTCTTTGATTCCTCAACCATGGATCCCTCCTTCTGTACGGATGTAAACCGATAGCAATTATGTTTCCACTCTTTTGCCATCACCAACTTCACCCACAAATTAATGCTGTCCCAGCCATTACTTTTCTTCTTCCTAAATTCTATCTTTTTCTGTCACTAACATTTTACTACTTTCATTATCAACATCCTCTCAACAAATCTAATTATTTGCCTCATATTCCACATATTTACATGTGGATGTTCTTTCTTCTTCTTCTTTTTATCACATTTTCTAATTGCCCATGTAAACAATTAATATGATTAATTCAACCTCATTTATTTTATTCAATGTTTGAGAAAATCTGGGAAGGTGTGTCATTGATGACGTTATACTCATTGAAGTGATGCAACCGTTGTTTTGAACTTGTGTCAAATATGTTTCAAGTAACCATTTAAAAGAGCTCTGGTGAAATGAAATAACGTGCATTGTATTAATATAAAAATTTGTTTTTTTTTTTAACTACTCATATATCATAATTTTGTTGACACAAGAAAAATCTTCATAAACCATAGTGAATTAGAATGATGAGAATATAAAAGTGAGAGTAAAATGTAAAGGATGGTAGAAGAAGTGTGAAAAATGCATAAAAAAAAAAGGAAGATAGGGTTTGGATATTTGGTGTTGGGAGTAGGGTTTTGATTGAACAGAGAAAAAACATAAAGATAACGACTAAAGAAAGACGGTACAAAGTACGATGGAACGGTCCCTGCTTCTGCCTCTGTCTGCTACACTACTCTCTACCGCTAACATTATTATTAATAATATTATTATTATTTTATTATGACATTATTTAATTATATTGAAAAATAAAATATTAAATGGACGGCGTCACCGCACCTCAATTTTACTCCAAAGGCCAACCATCCCTTTTTGGGTGCACATCGTACACCTTTCATGCTTCTGTCACGTACCCATCTCACCAAATTAAATTCAATTTAAATTTAAATTCAAATTCAATTATTATTTCTCTTGTAACAAAATGAATCAACCCTGCACATTTCTTTCAACCTACCACGCACCTTAATTTTCAAATTCATCACCTTCTTGCACTCTATTGTATTAGTCACTGGATTATTTACTAAAATACTCACATTTGTTTCCAATATCATGTTAATAGATTTTGTAGGGTATACCATTTTTTCTTTCACTCTCTATGCCTTCATATTCATGTCAAGCTAACCCTAGTTATATATATTTCAGGGTTTACTCTGTGTAAAATATCTATAAATAAATTAAAAATAAAAACTCCTTTTTATCAACGATTAAAATTTAATTAATTTTAATTTTAAAAAAACTATAAGTACATGGACTAAAACCTCGTATCCTCCTCCGGTATTTTAACCTAAAAAGCCTAGCTAGTATTTTACTCGTATACGCTACAAATACTGTTGACTAACTTAAGTTTCATGATAAATAATATTTTAAATATATAAATTTATATTTTAATTTCTATAAATAATTTTTATTGTGATACAAATATATTTTTAACTGATGACTTATTTTAATTTACTTTTACATAGAAAGGACATGAAAAACGAAAAACACACACACAACTATATATATACATTTATCCTTGTTCAAAACGTGTCATTAATAATCAATAATTCCTATGTTTTTAAAATAATTTGTTTTAATTTAAAATTTAAAATTATATCAATTCATATATACTAAATATATTTTTATTTTTTAAAAGTTTAAAAATGATTAAATTTCTCTTTTGCGATATTTTATATAAAATATAATTTATACTTGATATATTATATAAATAGACTGTAATTAGTATCATTAATAATATAAAAAAATATTATTTCCATCTAACTTCTTATTAATAAGTAAAATTTATCTAATTTTATCTTAAAATGAAAATGCTTTTTTAAGTTAAGGCTATATATATATATATATATATATATATATATATATATATATATATATATATATATATATATTGAACTATAAATGATTTTTTTTATCAAGAAAAGATCTTTTCATAATTTTTCAAATTAAAAGTTTTGATAATAAAAATTTTAAGATTAAAAGTTATAAAATAAATTTTTTTTTACTAAAATAGTAAACATATGCTTCATATTATTACAGTTCTCTTATTTAGAAAGAAAAAACCTTATATTTTATGCATAAAAAATAAATATGATAAGTAATTTTAATAGAAAAAATATAATATATTAAAAACAGTAATATAAATTATGAAAGTTAATATTTTGTAAGAAGTATATCTTGTATATTAGAGTGTCAGTTTTAACTGAAATACACAAACAAATAAAGACACATGAACTTAATGAATTTTATTGTTGCTTTAAAATGTCACATATTTCACTGTTATCAATAATCCTTTATTTATTGTGGGTGGGATGAAGGCATTAAAATCTCTAATCATTATGCATGAAAGCAATCATTACTTCCAGTGGAGCACATCCCTGTCAACAAATAATTTTGACCATTTTTTAAATATTGCACGTATTTAAGTGGAAATTACTTTCATGTGAAACTTAATGTGTTTAATTGTTGAGCAATTTTCCACCAATAACATTACACATTCCAACAATTCCATGACTTCTCCAGAGAAAAACAAATATTTTATTTCTCCTTTGTTAAAGAACAATCCAACAGAACATATTTCACTGTCTTTAATAGGATAAATAATTAAATAATGTTAAATATGTAATAAAAAGTGTAAAGTTCACATAAATAAGAAAGATTACCAATATCTTATAAGGTGTTTTATAATTGGCTAAAGGGAGTATTGTTGAAATGGTTCTTTCTTTTTTAGAAAATGTGATTATATACTATATATTATCGATAATAATTTCAACACGATGTGAAAAAGGAAAATAAATTTAGTAATTTTTATATGATTTCTCTTAAATAAAATAATCAATATTTTAGATATAATTTTTCACTCTCTCTTTTTTCTTATCCATTGACCAAATAGTTTAAAATATTATTAGTGGCTAACAATGTCTAAAAAAGTGTCAATATTGAATATAAGGATTCAGATTTATGATATAAGAATATCTACACTGTAAAAGTCTTATAATAATTTTCATGAAATCGTTGTTAAATCGATTTTAATTAATTTTATAAAAAATGTTTTAATAATGAGATCTTATAAAATTAACATTTTTGTATAAATATTTTATTTATATTTTAATGTTTTAAAACATAAAAATTTAATTTAATACTAGTGTTATTTTTTTGATGAAGTTTTTTATAGGATGTAAGTGTTAAATTTAAGATAATTATTAGTAAAACTCTTTGCTTAAAAGAAGTAGAAGAATGAGAGAAAAAGTGTAGTTTTAAAATAGAAAGAGTGTGAGAGGATAAAAACTAACCCTAATTATTAAGATAGGGTTAGATTTTGTGGGAAGGGAAGAAGAAGATGAAAGGAGTAAAAGGAGATTGGGGATGGGGATGGGGATGGGGATGGGGATGGGATGGGAATAGGATGAGGAACAGAGGGAGTGAGGTGATGTTTGGGAAACGTTACAGTACGTGTGGTCGCAGTGAATCCTAATGGTTTTTTTGTCTCCCCCAAATGTCGCAGGCCCAAAGTCCAATCAGCCCAATTTCCAATACCATCATTACCACCGTAACGTCTTTGGTACCCGCTCTGATCCCACGCCACGGAACGCCCCTTCCTCATCAGACGCTCATCATTCCATCATATCCAAACCTCTCTTTCTACACTCCGCCCTCTCTCTCTCCTTTTATCACCTCCTTCGTGTTCTCTTTGTCTTCTCCTAAAACGTCACATTCATACACCAAAATATTATTATTACTATTTTTGTTATCAAACAAATAATAAATAACCATCTTTCGGTTCATGGTGATAAAATGGATAGAAGATTTAGAAGGGAAAAAAAGAAAAAGAAATTCTTGGAATGTCATTTGTGACATTTAACTATTTAAGGGTCTGTGTCTGCAGAGAAAAGCTGCTCCATCATTTCCAATTTCTCCTCTTCGTCTTTCAAGGGAGTTAGATGCAGGTGTATGTGACTATTCCAACTTCAGAGTCTCTGAGTTGAGGGGTGTGTGGGAGTAAGGGTTGGGATCTCATACGTGTCATTGGGACATGTTGCATGAGTAAGGTCTTTCTCATACCTTTCTCACAACCACCATCACACAGATTAAAGAGAGAGGTTTTATAGGACTATCAGTTTGTGCTTGTGTCTTTCATCCTTCTTTTTTTCTTTTCTTTTTTTTCTTCTTTCTCGTATTTCTCCCTTTCATAATGTCACTTTTCTTAACTAGTGTTTTTGTATATTAGTTAAAACAATTACACATATTTTTGTGGTTTCATAACATATTTTTCACTTTTTTAATTACTAGTTCGATACGTTAATGTACCTGTTAGTTTTTCTTATATTTTGAGATGTTCTTAGTAGGGATCAATTACCAAACCCTAATAATTTTTTGTAAGTAAATTGTGGATGAGTAAGATGGTGGGTCGTGTGGATCGTATATAATAGTCCTTCGTTTTTCCTTTAATGGGTATCTCTCTATTCCTTCAGATCTGATTCAATTACGATTTTTTTTCCCCTTTTGATTTTTCAAACATTTTCGTTTTTATCTGAAGTTTTCCAAATTTGGGCAGTTATTTGCTTTTAGCATTTTACCCTTCCACTTTGTTTTTCTTTCTTGGAACGTAGAAATTGACAGAAGAGAGTGAGCACACAGAGGCACCTGGTATAGTTATATACTGTTGCTTTTGCGTGCTCACTTCTCTTTCTGTCAACTTCCAGTGCTGGAAATTATCTTCAATCTGGCTCTGCTTTGTTCCAATTCCAACCAAACAAACCCCAACTCAACCCCCACACACTCTCTTCAGATCTTTCCACACTCTCATGATGGACCTCAACAACATCATCATCATTCATGCCTCACTGCAACAGGTTCATTATTCATTAATTAATTTTATCAAACAGTGAAGACCAGTGTCGTTTTTGCGTTTCTATGTTTCTTTCCCCTATTTTCATGTTTCGGTTTCATGATCTATTCCCCTATTGATTTTATTATATTATTATATTTTACTCATGATTCAATTTTATATTATCTGTGCTTAAACAGAAGCGTGACTTTTGATAGCGTGGCAGAACGAACTCCCTCATTAACAGTGCAGATTAATCACCGGCAATCTTTTTTAATGTGTACTTACTCTATAGCATATCATGGGACCATTCACGTCATTTCGTATGGTCCTCACTATTTTTTTTTTTTTTTTCTCAACGTTCTTGTTCTCTCTGTCTAACATTGTCTTCCTAATTTCATGTTCATCATCCTCTTTAGTTTTAATTCTTGCATATGCGAACGAGGTTTATTTATTCCGTAAGAGGTACTCTTTCCCGTTGACTAGTGTTTGTGCCCACCTCAGGTTAAGCTAGATTCTGGTTTCTTGGACTTTTGGATGAGCGTGTAAACCGGTTTTGGTTGGTTTATCTGGTAAACCCTATCAACTTAACTGTAGTGTACGTTGTTTGTACTGAGCTACGGCAATTTTGTTTGAGAGTTTGAGAATGTGAACATCGTTTTGATTCCTGTCGCTTACTAACACTTTGTTTCTCCTTGCTATTTTCTTGTTAAGTTCTTTTTGCTTTTGATTTTTATAGGGTGGTTTAGTATAGAAATAAATATTTCGACTGTGATAATGGTTTATATTCTGCACAAGCTGCACCCTGATTTTTGTGCAGTTTGATGCAGATTAAAGCTTAGGCTTTGACCCTTCTTACTTGTGGATCTTGGAAAAGAACTATCATTTTATATATGTTGTTACTCTTTCCATTGACTGCTTCCACCCCCTTTTTGTTAATTATTAGAAATAGCTTCTTCAAGCTGGTAGTGAAGAGGTTAAATTTCAATCAGACACAGTATTTACCGATCTCTCTCTTTGGTAAACATAGGCGTAGCAACTTCCAAGTAAATGAACACCTTATTCATGTCGTGTCAATTTAATGGAAATTCATTTCTATACTCCTGTTACTTGTACATAAAATCAAATGATGTTGGCTACTCTTAGCATAGCGACCAACTACCACCTCTAGATAGTGGCTTCTAATGACAATGTTCCATCCTACACAGTTGAGAAGGTTAACAATTTAATTATTTCCTGTGGAGATTACTGAAGCCATTTATTTCCTCAACGGTGTTGTTAAGGTTTTCGAAACAAAAATGCAATGTTGTTTTTTTTATATAAAAAAGGGAAAAAAAAAACTGTTTTGGTGACCTGGTCAATTTGTGTTGGTTATTATTATTATTATGAAGTTAAAAATTATCATCTTTAATGGCAATAAGATTTTGTAGTTTTTAAATTCAAAGAAATTTTCTATATTTGTTTGTTTAATAGCTTTACAATTCAATTTTTATGGAGTTTTATCTGTAAAATATGAACCACCTATCCTTTTCACATTTATTTTGGTTTTCTTTTGATGGAGACAATATATATGCCATTGATGAAAAGACTACATAGACTTCATAGAATTGATATATGGGTGATGTATTAGAAAGAGTACGTGGCAGATATGCTTGCATTTTTATATTATTTTCCTTTAGTTCTTTAGATTTAATTGTATTTATATTCTATGATCTGAAGAATATGCTCCATAATTTTATATATTTCTATTTTCATCACGACTACAGTTTAATATAAAAATTCTAAAATGAGGGCTACTGTGAAGTTTCATGTTGCTACAATTGAAGCTCGGTTTAGCCACCAACCATGAAATGTACATTTTTTGTGTGATTAATTGATATGGATTTCACATGTATAAGCGATGAACAACATTCACGTTTCCATTAATTTATAAATGATTTTGGGTTGTAAAATCGATCAAGAGATATTCTGAAGTTCTGAGCTTTTATGACACATTCACTTAACAATATCTGGCACTTCCAACATGCAATGTGGTCAATTTTTTTGTTTTTCAACTTTGGTTTGTAATTCTGAAAAGATTCTATTGTTTTGTAGGTAACAGGTTGCTACACATCTAATGATTTTTGGTTGTGATTGCAGTATAGCTAGGTCAGATAACCAAACTATTACTACAACCCTACCAGACTCATACCAACCTTTTAAATTCTATCACTTCTATCCGCAGTGAAACTTGGTTAACGTTTTGCATTTTTTATATGCCACATAAAATTTGTACTCGAGAGGTTCAAGATTGCTCATGAGTGCATTCATTCTTGTATACTTTTAACATTTCTACGTGAAAGCATGTAAATTCTTGTTTGAATTTTATTCAGAGTCTATTTGATTTGAGAAAAGGTTGTCTGTTTTATTACTTTTAATTACAAAAATTTAACCTTTTTTTTTTGTAATAGAAAACTTTTTCAAACCAAATGACCTAAGCTTTAATCAATTGGATTTCATTTTGATATCAGAACTGAGTTAAGTTATAACTTGTACATACATTGTGTTTTGATTTTCCGAAGAGTTTTACACTTCAAATTTGCTAAATTGTTTTCCTTACAATCCTTATCATGGTTATAGCTAAAAGTGGTTGTGTTAATAAGTTGTCCACTTATTTATGTTTCTTTTTACTTTATGATAATTAGAGACGATGGACCTACTGTCTCTATTTATGCTAAATCTTATCTAATATTAGCTGGTCATGTTGAATAGTGTTCCACTTCTTTTGATTAGACATTCAAATAGTGTGATTGATAAGGCTATGATCTTAAATTCTATTGTCCCATTGCTCTTTCTACAAATGTTTAGGCTAATGATTCAGCTTCTTAAATATATTTTGTATACTATATTTTTTTTCTAATTCATCACAAAAACTAACTTGGTGAACCTTTTTTCATGGAAAAATTTGGGTCAATCTTATAGAAATAGAATGGAAACATTATTTTGGATATGCTTGCATCTTCATTTAACAGTATACCCTTCCACGTAAATATTCTTTGCTAAAAATTTTCCAACCATTTAGGGGACTTTTGGAAGAGCTATTATACAAACCTTAAGAGTTTATGCAAGGGCTTTATCTCATTTTAATAATAATAAAAAAAAAACTACCTTAGTTTAATAAACTTTATAGCTAAACTTGTAAAAATAATTAAGATTATTTTAGGAATCCTTACAATTCAGCTTATAATGCAAGCTCTTTGAATAAATACTTAATTAAGCTATTCATCAAATTAAACACACCCCAGTATGATATAAGGATGTGTTTTTGTGATCAACCACTTTCAAGTGACATTTTGGAGCTCAGTAATTAAGATCAGAGTAATGAAAGATAGCATGCAGACAATAGCTTAATTCTCGGTATCATGGTAAAAATCTATCAAGTTTTCAGCAAAACCCAGTAATTAGGACAAAATATTGTCCCAGATCCTCTTAGACGAATTGATACTTTTTTTCCCTCAAGTCAAAGTACTTTTAATTATAGTTAAGAATTGATATTCACCTCCATCAACACTTTACATGCAAATTTGTATTCTTGAGTTGTCTGCTCTCGTCATCTTTATTGATTTTCTCAGTAGGTATTTTAATTTAGCAGACCTATTTTTAATAATATCGATTCGTTCGCTAGCAGGAGTTAATTACAGTCTGATTTAGAAAGATAAACAAGAGTAAATCATATATAATAGTTAATAATGTTAATTCATTTGGGTGCTTCTAGTAATTTTTTTCACTTCACAAATCACCAACAACGGAATCCTTGTAAGTTGAACATTTAATAATTTTGTTTTGGACTTTCATTGACATCTAGTTACTTTTAACTGACATTTAATTTTGGGTCTACTAGTAATTTCTATTTAGTCATGCAGATTTGGGATGAAGAGTTGGATTCATCCTAATTACTAAATATGAAAAGTTCATGCCTGTGTCACTAGTTCAGTTAGTTCCTTGAGAGAAAACAAAAACCACCCTTGGATTGCAGTGGGGTAGCTGACAAAAGGCAAACGGAAACAAAGTACTTTTGCTGACCATACTTTAGGTTTGTGGTAAGATTCACCCTTCTGAACAAGAATCTGTTATCATGTTTATCTGTTTACTATTACGTGAAAGCCCTTACATTGTACCTTCTTTTTGCCTTGTAGTGTGCAATTTGTTGTTTGGAAATAAATGAGGTTCCTTTCATATTGTTTTTGTTTGTGCAGTGTTTCAGTCTTATAATGTTTTTCGGCCACAAAAAGGAAGAATACAAATATTATGGTTTTTGAATGCTGCAGACAACGATAATGAGTTGATATGAATAAAAATCTTCCGCTGTGTTTCAAACCATTCATTTAGAAGTGCAAACACATCTAAAGCATGGTTTATGATGAGGTTGAGTGAACGTGTGGTTGTAATTGATGTTCCCTTCAAACGTCAGTCACTATACCGATTGTTGCAAGTTGAGGAAATATGCTACCCATGTCATCATTAGGACTCGGAGATATTTTTGGAAGAACTGGTTTGAAGTTATGGACAATATTAAACTACTCAGTCTCAATGTTATTAGCCCCGGTTTTAGGTTTGAGGATGCAACTTAACCATACAAGCTTGTAATATTCAATGCCTCCTTGTACAAAGGTTATCAATCATGTTATTTGAAGCTCAAATCAAGAACTATGACTTTTGGGGAGCTTTTGTAATCATAAAAACTGTTGCGTGATGGTATTGATATATATGTTTTTTTCCTATCAGAATTTTGTAGTCAAATTCCAAAAGTAAAATTTCCATGTGTTTTTCTTATTTGATGTTAGTTATTGGGATGCAAACACTCTAAAATTTGATTATGTAGATAACACTACTTTAATTAATAGAGGTTGGATCTAGTAGAAATAATTAATTTTTTTATGAACATGAAATCTCTAATTAAACTAAAACAGTTATCAAGTTAATCTATGCATTTGGCCCTTAAAATTGCCTTTAAATATTTCACCCATCACTTAACCATGAAAGTCCTCTCTCGACCACATGTGATTTGATCGAACTTTCTCATCAGTTGATATATTTCCAAAATGAATTCAATGAGAGTATCTTGGTTATAATAAATTAATATATGAGATTTTTTTTTTTTCGCTATATATAAAGACGACAACTACTTTTGACTCTTTCATCAACTATATATAGACAAGAACTTTCATTCTTTATATTGGCGCTTCCTTTATTCCAATTATGAGTGTTTTCCGTGATTATATGCAATTTTAATAAATTAGGGGGATGCTAACGAGAATCAGGGTATTTTTCTTGCATGAGGAGGTGTAAAGGCTCCTCCAACTACGACGCTTAGCGTACCCAAGAAAAAGTTAAAAAGTTGATTACTTTTTTACTACTACACATTGCAAATTGATTCATAAAGGGTAAGTTTTTTGCGAATGTCATCGTTATTTTATCAAAACAAATAAATACGATATATTAATTTCTGAAGTTGAAATACATACATGAATTCAATGAAAAGAGTAAGGTATCAATAGATTAAAGATTAATTTAAAAAAAAAATACAAATTACAGACGAATATAATATCACTAAATTTAACTGAATTGCTGAACTCTTATGAAGAAGATGCCCTACATAAGGACCCAGAGGGGGAACAAAACTGTGATGAGCGTTGCTTTTTAGGCGAGAAATTCAGCTTCAACCCCTTTGATCTCATCTGATCTATCTATTAGACATACTCAAATATATTAGCCACTTTTTGCTAGAGCCCCAGCCGCAAAAAGAAGATTCCTTCGAGAAAACTGTTTCAAAGAACAGAAGACAAGTATGAAATCATACCATTATCCATCACCATGTAATAAAGCGTCAAGGGATCTTACCCGCAACGAGTAAACTGGAGTAGATTTGGTTGGCAGAGTTTTCAGCGATCTGAGTCTGTTAGCATTCCCACTTCTATAATTGTCAAAAAGAAATTTCTCGTGTTACTAAGGATGTCATAACAAGACCGACCACATATAATTAAGATTCAAAGACTGGGATCCAACCAGTTTTTATAAAACATTACTATTTAAATTTTTTTTTTTAAATTCAAACTATAATATACAAAGTAGTATTGATAAAAAATATAATACACAAATTAATAAAATTACAATTTAAACTCCACTTAAAAGTATAATAAGTCATAACATATAATAAAAATAAATCGCATACAAAAACAAACAAATCTAATACATCATATTTAATTTAGTAACACATAAAATTCATTAACAATTATAAGTATCTTAAAACAAACTACCAAAAAGTAAAATAAAATTAGAAGCAACCGTCTGAACATCTCAACCAATTGGTTGTTTAAGTTCATGGCCGGTTTGACCTATTTTATTCCTATCTAAATGAAATCCGCTTTTAAGGAAGCTTCGGACCTTGGACCGATTCCCCATTCAATTAGTTGAACAGACTGATCCGGTTCTGGCAATAGTGATATTACCATAAGAACCAATTTCTCTGGATGGCATTTAGCACATGTAATAGTTTAACATTACTGAGAAAGGCACAAGGGTTTTTCTTGTTTGTGAGAAACGAAGAGATATTTCTGGGGATAAAGCATCCTTGAAACGGTAATTTATGAGTGATAATACATGTTTCGCGTGGTAATTGAGTGTTACATTAATAAACCTTTCAATTATAATTCGTGGTAAATATATTATTTATTCGTATAAAAGTTGAATAATAATTAGACACATTTTATAAATTTTCGCAATAACTTTGATGAGCTAGAAATAGAAGATTTCTTATGTCAAACGATTCAAAAACAATTGTCATTATAGACGAACTTACTTTTCTTCAGCCCTTGAAACCTTGGTGCTCGTATTTACATCCCACAATTTTACAGTGCAATCCGCAGATCCAGAGGCTAGAATAGAACCTTCAGAACTGATACATCCAACCATTATGAATAGATGTAGGGTTTGTTACCAAATTGATAGCAATCTCCTGCCTGATTATGATTAAGTAGAGCAATAGGGGATCACCTGAAAGCGAGGGACCAGACACAGGACGTGTGCCCAATCAAAGGTGTGAGACAGCGGCCACTAGAGAGGTCCCACATCATGATCGTGCCATCTTCATCACCAGATGCCATATAGCGACCATCGGGAGACATTGCCAAAGACAAAATCATACCCCGGTGACCAACAAAAACCCGGACACACTCACCACTCTGCACATCCCATAGTCGAACTGTTTTGTCACTGGAACCAGTTGCAATGTAGTTGCAGTTGGCATGCCATTGCACACACTAAAAAATATCACAAGACAGGTAAGAATTGTTGCTTAATACATAATAGTGAGTTTCTAAGACTTTGAGAAACCAACTTTGATTCATAAATATTTTAGTATGGCTCCATTTTACCTTCTAAGATTAAGTGGCAAAATATAGGTTTCAGTGACATTTTGAAGATGTAACCCCAATTAAGCATTAAATTATATTATTAGAGGTCTCACATGGACTAGAGATATAACTAAAAATCCATTATTATGTGATTTCACAAAGAGAAATTAAAGATAATTTCCCCTGTTCAAAACAGACTTTGCAAAACACTGCTTAATCATAAACTTGAATACACATTAAATCACTGGTATATGAATCCGAAGCAATCAATATGTAATTATAAAATAAATAAGCTAGTGGCAAATATAGATCCCAAAAATGAACAAAATCTAAAAAAATAGAAGCAACAGAAAATATTGAAAGCAGTAACTTACATCAACATCAGACAAGTGCCCTGCCATTATTCTTAAGGGCTGTATCCTATCCATGGACCAAATCCTAGCAGTTCTGTCATGTGAAGAGCTGGCAAAATAATGCCCTACAGGACTAAACTGCATCCATTAAAAGAAATAAATAAAATAGCCTTCCAGAATGTATATGCAGCCGGCAAGAATGAAATCCCAAGGGAGGAAAAAAGAGGAATAAAATATCTTTACGCTATAAAAATCAGAATTTTGCTAGCTGAAGAATTGATTTGAAGATACAAAGCACAACATTGACTCTTCAACAAATCCATACATGCATGCTGTCATATATCAAAACTTCCTTATTGCAACTAACAAAACTTTCATACTAAACATTTTACCAGTTAAAACTAAGATGTAAAGTACAGAGGCAAAAGAAGGAAGAACTAGTTTGTATCATTTACATATTTGCAAGATTAGAAACAGTGGGATTATAAAAGCTTTTTCCCTCACAGATATGCTAACACGATAGGCTATCCCTCATTTGTTAGCATATCCCTTTGTACCCTTCATTTTTGTCTTTTTGTATTTCTTTTACCAAAATAAAGTGGATCACATTAACAAGACATTTGGAGCATATATGGAGACGACTGAGGTCTTAACTTGCATATACAAGCACATGCTATATTTGTTTAAGCAATTAAAAAAGTCGTCATCATATTTTAATGTGTAAATTTTAAACTTCTCTATTCATGTAACTATTATGTTCGAAATTCACTATCAGCACAGAAAAGTTCACAACAAAAGGCTTTACCTGAACATCCCAGACAGGGTAATTGTGACCCTTATAACAAACAAGGTTGGCATTAAGTTTGGTGCTCCACAATCGAACTGCATAACCATTTAAGATTCAAAAGGTTTCAGAATTAAAACTATAATATAAAAGAAACAAAATGAGAATGAACACAAATGAGATCATGTAATATACTTGTTGAGTCTGCCGAGGATGAAAGGATAAAGTCACCGACAGGACTAAAAGAAGCTGCATAAACAGGCCCTGAATGACCTTGAAACAATGTATACTGTCTTTTCCCACCACCTTCTCCAAACATTTGATCATTTTGCGATGTGTCATTCTCACCCTGCGAAAGAGCTAATGATAGCAAAATTGATAACTGGCCTTTTATAACAAGCAAAACCATTTGGTCATGTTCAAATGCTAGGAAACTGCATAAGCTTCCATCCAATCAAGCTTGCTTTGTTTGTTCAACTTAAGTCTCAAGTTTGCCGTTAGAGCCTGAGGTCTTTTACAGTTTTAGCAATTACAAGGAAAAAAATTCAATCCATTCTTAAACAATTTTGAAATAGAATGCCCACACTGGTCTGGATCACATTCTTAAACCACCAAAACTTTGTTTTTTCTAATTGATTTAAATGCTCGTAGACTAAAAGATAATGCACCAAACATTTTTTCAACAAAGTCCAAGACAACAATTCCATCACTAGATGGCTAGTAAGACAGGTACTGCAAAGAACCTCTCTTCTCTTTATAGATGAGGCAGTGAAAAGCTACATATGTGAAACTATACCAATGGATCTTGCTTAAATTAATTACAAGTTAATTTACGCAGTGTATTGCTTAAACTATATTTTCTCTGAACCATTGCTCCTGATTATAACCATATTCACATTTCTCAAGCAATGGTGCGACAGTAACAGCTAGGTCTAAACAAAAGAAATTTACAAATACAAACTTACAACTGGCAGGCGGTTGTCCAAGCTTTGCCATATCCCAAACCTGTGCATACGATCCAGAAATTACCAGAAATTCAATCAAGTTAAAACTCCATAGAAAGAGAGTTTTCTATTAGAAAGATGGATGAAAGAGGAAATATAGAAAAGAAAATACCTTCAGTGATGAGTCAGAAAATCCTCCAGCAATCAATGATCCATCATGGGATATTGATGAACAGCTTAAACTGAGATGTTATGCAAAAGCATAAGTAATAAGCAAGAGAAATCCAAAGAATATAGATCACAAGGATAAATGTGTAGGACATTACCCATTATGTGTATTTATAAATGTGTAAAAGCTAACTGATGGCAATGCAACATTGCTGAGCTGTACACGGTTCCTTAAGTCCTCAAGAATGGAGTGTTCAACCTCAGTTGGGCTGCAATAATACAACATTAGAAAATCCAATAATATTAATACCTTATATTACACAGCTGACATCACACAATAACAAAATATACAGAAACGAAGCACTTAAAAAAATTATGTGTTTTGTGGTCCGTTTTATTGAGTATCTAACTAATTCAAGAACTCAACTACTATTATCTGACCTAAATAGAGACAATGAAAATATGTTTTTTCCCCTTCAATCATGTGGAATGATGGATCAAACACTTTATCCATTAATAAAAGACCAGTAAGAGCATCTCCAAAGGAAATTACTAACAAGAGTTACTTAGAAATAAAAATGAATATTTTATTATATATCCCACGTATAAGTTGCTTAAAATTGGAGAAATTTGCTTAAAATTGGAAGAAAGGCGTTTAGATAAGCAACTGTGACCAATTTTTAAGCAACTCACATATGGGACCCATAATAAAATGTTTATTTTTATTCCTAAGCAACTCTTGCTAATAACTCCCTTTGGAGATGCCCTCAATAATTATGTACTACCAACCCATCCAAATAGCCCTCTTATGCTACAAAATTCAGTAACAAAAGTTCGGAAATGACACAGGAGTCATCTCATTGGCAGGTGCGAAACATGGAATTCCAATTCAAAATATATCCAAACCTACCTTTGAGGAGTGGGAACATCTGTACTTAGTCACATGACCACACTTTCCATTTAAACAGGATTGTTGCAGACACAGAGGAGTTCCAAATCAACCAAGTGTGAGACTTGGAACTCCCATTTGAAGTAGAGGATTCCCCCTCTTACAGCTTGTCATTTATGAATAGAAATATAGGAAAAGGATGAACTCATTGGATGAATAGAAATCAGAAATGTATCTCTATTTAGTTTTGGATGAAAAAGAATATATAAAGGATAAGCAATGTATGCATACACTTTTATCCTTTTTTAAGGAACAAGGGGAAATGAAGAATAAAAATAAAGAGTTTTGGAGACCACACTTAAAAACAGAAAGGAGAAAAGTCTTTCCATATGAGAATTTTTGTGTGAAAAAATTATCTTGCCTATTTCTGTTGTGTCAAACAAGTTAAATGGGAAATTTCTATCTGATATCCATTCTCTGTATTTCTTTCCACCCAATATCCACAGAAATAAAGTGTCAAAGTAGTGGGAAGCCTTGCATTTGCAGAGAAACTGGAAAGCTTAGCTGCATTCTTAACTTCTCCAAGTTTATGGTTGTATTTAGAGTTTCTTTGGAGGTTTTCTTATCCTCCTCCAATTTGATGCACCACCTTCTCTCTCTAATAGATTTCCTTCATTTTACCACCCATGAAATTTTCAAAAGCACTCATGCAAACCTACATATCAATCTTTCCAGGTTAAACTTTCTTTCTGTCTGGTTCCAAACAAGCATTCAACCAAGAACTAAATGAAGTAACACAATGTTAAAACATCTAGAACAAACTGAAAAATGCACAGGCAGAGGCAGAAGGATGTCCGAGAAATTTTTTTTATCACAAACAGAATATTTAGAGTTGAGTCAAACTTAGAAGCTGATTATATTTTAAAAAACATAAATTCACTCAATGATCAACATTAGTTTAGGTTTCACTCAACTAATAGCATAAGTAAAGCATAAAATTGCAGGCAATTGTGCGCAGTCTCATACTTTTGATAGACTATGTAAGCAAAAGAACTAAAATTATAAGCATGATTTTTATTCCAACACAAGGAGATGAATTTTATTAAATTTAGACTAACAAAATAAGTAGGGGAGGAAAATCGTCAGTACATGAAAATTCCTTTCTATAAAAAAAAAAAAGGCCAATCAAATGACTTCTATGCTCTTACTTAATGCCGTCACTTACTTTAGAATTGTGCCATTTACATTAGCCATACAATTTCTAATGAAAAGAAAAGGAACATAATGTCTTGATTGTCTTCAGATTTGATCCTCATCCTATATCTAGTTTAAAAAGACATGTTAAATGAAGATATGGGATTGAGAGAATACATGACGGGTAAGGGGAGTTCAGGCTTAACTCGAGGAGCCGCAGGTACAGTGTTAGCTTCAGGTTTTGCACTTTTTCCAGTTGCACTACCGCCCCTGTCCTTTTTAACTTTTTTAACTGAACCACCACCTTGCTTTCCTCCTTCGATGGATCTTTTCTAAAATTTAAATATTTGAAAAATAAAGTGAAAAAACACTCAAATAAGACATCTAAAATTATAATTCATGCACACATTTTGTTTGAAAGGCTGGCCTAGGTTCTAGAAACAAATGGTACTGTCTTTCTTCATATAGGCGTGAGTGAAATTTAGTAATTGACAAGAGTCAGGTGAATTTTAGAGCAGACATACCTTAGTCTCGTCATTCTCTCCCTCCTTTGCTTCCCCTTCACCCTTTTCAGAGTCTGAAAGCAAGGCCCCTGCCTTCTCCAGCCGCTCTTCAAGGGAGTCTTCAAGTAACTACAGGAGAAATACATTGAGAAATCAGAAATACTGAATCAGTCATTAATAATTCAGTTCCATTACCTTTGAAAAATAGAATAAAAAACTCCTTCTGAACAAGTGTCCAGGAAATTGTAAAACAGATGTCACCTACCTTACACTTTACTTCTTTTAAAATAATATATTTGCATAAAAAATTATAAAACAGCAAAAGATTGTTCACCATTTACTGTACAAATCCTTGAAAACAGAAAACAAATACTTGGGATATTATTAGTGAAAGCAGGGAATTAAAATAAAGTTGCAAGTGTTCCTCACGTTATGAAGACACTTTAGTTACACCAAGCTTGCAAAAGTAAATAAATAGGGCTGTATTAATAGAATCAACACAACCAAGCAAATTTGTAGCTTTATCAAAATTTGTAGATATGATAATAGACTCACCCCCCAGTGAATTTCTTTTTTATTTATCCTGTTTGCTGCTTCCTGGCTGCTTCCAGTAAGGGTAACAGCTTCCGGATCATCAGAAATTAAGCTAGGTTGTCCAGGGGAAACTATATGAAAAGGGTAACAGTTTCCGGATCAACAAAAAACAATGAAGTGTGTATGCAATAACTACAAGTTCAAATGAGCAGATGCAATCCGTGATGTAAAAAAGTACCTTGAAAATTAATATGCTCATTGATAATACCAAGTATAGTGGTGGATTGCGTACTGTGTAGATGTTGCAACAGAAGCTCATAGGAATACTGGCAAAACAGGAACTCTATCAGCTTTCCCCATACATTTAGCTCCATTTGAATGGAAAAACGCAAAGACCACCATGATCAAAATTAAGAAACATGTACCAAGTTAGAGATAATACTGATAATTGATGTTCTTTATAAGGACCAAATAAGTCATCCTTTTGAACATAGTCCAGAGATATTTTGTGGATAGATGAATTTCATTTATTTATAAAATAAACTATAAGCTAATGTTGAGTCTAACACCTGTATGATACTTCCATTAAGCCCTCACATGAGTCAAATCCACCAAGATAAAAATAGTTAACAGCATACCCTTAATGCCCACTGTAAATGCTAGGTAGCCAAGTAAGTCAGAGATTAGAAATTATGTTACATCCCAATTTACCCTCCCAATCGACAAGCTATCTGGCAGCATAACTCCACACTTAAACATGTGAGTACACTCTACAAAGATGATGAATAGTTGCCACCATTCATCAATGTGGTTCTACCTAAATCGCAATCCCTACAGTATGCATTGCAAATACAGGTACGTGAAAAATAATATAATTTGCATGCTGGTATGGTCATAGTTTACTGTAATTATATCCTTACTATGTACATGAAAAATAATATAATTTGTCTAAGAGAAGGAAATCTTAGTCACTTCTTAAACTGGTGCATACTAACTTTTTTATCATAGGTTTCAATTTATTTATTTAGTTATCTTTAAGAAAGAGTCAAAAGGGTGCGTGAAATTTGGCTATGCTCACTTAAGTTAAACCCTGATAAATAAGAACCTAACTACTTTTAAATCTAGAATGCTTTAATGTAATTGTGAGCCTTATATAATGCGACCCTTGTTTCACCACAACCAGTAAAGTTTACCCAGGAAAAAAATTACTTAGTCAAAACCTAGCGTCAAGGCACAACAATAGATGAGTTAGTTAAAAATTTCATAGAATATTAATAGATCGCAAAGCTGAACTTGGCTTATAGGATGCAACATTGAACTTGGCTTATAGGATGCAACATTATATCCACCATTGCACTCTCTGTCTGTAGTAAGTACATTGGGGGGCAGAAACACAAGGGGGTATGCCTACGTATCCTCTCTATGCCTCCTTCAGATTCACCACCCTAAATGATTCCGTGTGTCAAAGTAACATGATTATGTTTGTGCAAAATATAAAATGAAACTCGAAGAGGATGGAAAAAACTTATTGCAATGTATGACATTAAGCAATGAGTAGTATCACGAGCATCCATGATCCAGCATATAATACCAACAAATTGGAATAACTAGCAATAAAGATTTGGACCTACAACAACTTAAAGCTAAATGAACACCAAATTGCTATAAACTGATTTGTATTTAAATTATAGGCATGAACAAACATATATTATGACCTGAAAACCCCAAGGAACAACAGCATTTCAAATAAAGGTGCAAATAAATTAACTTATGTAATCATGACTAAACAGTAAGAGAAGAAGCCACAGAAGGGGCAGAGCACTACAGTTCTAGAGGTTGCAGAAACAAGTTGACTACAATGTTTATTTTGAATATATGCAAAATAAAAAGTAATCGCAGTGTAGCTGATAAACAAATCTAAAATAATTAATTCGTTACCTCACATATCTTTATGTTGAATTTGCTCTGTCTAAGAGAGTGAGCGAATTCCATTTCCTGCACAAGAAATTACATTACCGTTGGAATATGTTACACTGATTGCTATGATCCAAAAGCCTCACCAAAATGAAAAGACCAAAACAAAATTTTAGAGAGCAACCAACCTGAAGATGGGTAGGAGAAAGAACTCCTTCCAACTTCTGAAGGTCACGCAAGTGCATCATTTCGTGGTCTTCACGGAAAGTATTGAAGAAATTCCGAGCTGGAAACAGTAACAACGGTTACACACAAGCACAAGAACAAAGAAAAAAACGTGCTGCATTGCACAAGTGCCCCCACATTTAGAACTCAACAAATTACCTTCCTGAACGTGTCCTTTCGCCACAAGGTCCATAAAACAGTGAATAAACACGGGATAAAGCACGCGAAGCAACTCGTGCTGCAGGAAAACGGCGACATACGTAACAAAAGCACGGAAAAAGGCAGAAGAAAATGGATATATACAAGTGAAAAGGTGCGCATTACCTTGTACAAATCCAGTGAAGAATAAGTCCATGTTCGCAGTTTGCTGTAACCGTCGTGGAACCTAGCGGGGCCAGTCTCCAATCTGCAAAACATAGGGTTAGAAAGAGGGAAAGTGAGTGCGGTGAGGTAGTGAAGCATGCCGAGGGTAACCATATGAGGATGGAGAAAGGAAAAGTACTGGGAGAAGGCGAGGAGGTGGTTGCCAGCGTCGGGTTCGAGGGAATTATTGGAAGAGGAATTGGTGGTTTTGTTGTGCTGAAATTCTTCCTGGAAAATCTTCTCGGTTTGCGTGAAACCCTTCTTCTTGAGGTACGCTGTAACATATCCAACTATTTTATCGTCCTCCATTCTTTGATCTCAGACACCGACCTCTTCGTCGTCGTCTTCTTCTCTTCTTCCACTGCCTACAGGATGCACTTTCTACAAAATTTGATTCTTCGTTGGGTTATTTCCTGAATGGGACCTGTTAAATGGGCTTGGTGCGAGTCAAGAGATGGAAGGAAAAGGGTATTTTACAAATATAAAACAATAAGGGGTATGTTAAGAAATAAAACAGATAATATCACCCTTTCTGGACTGGAAGCCCAGCTTTTGGGCCTAAACTCGTTATTGGGTTAAACCGATTTTTCACTTTTTAAATAAAGCTTGAGGTGCATGATACTTAATCAGTTTCCAATGTTGATCGAACAAAAAAAATTATTTATTTTGTTAAAATTTAAATAGAAAATAAAAAATTTAATAATTTTTTATCGTTATCGTTTTATTGCATTCTATTTTTTTCCGTAATTATTTTTAGATTAATCGCAAACTATTTTGGTACATACACTTCCCCACTATTTTGTGTTTATTAAACATATAATTTTAAAATAATAAGAGTCTAAATTTCATAAAAATATGAAATATAAAATATGTTATTTTAAAATAAAAACATACACAACACTATATAAATATATCATTTTACATCATTTTATATTTTTTAAGTATTTTGTGGCAAATTTAAGTGGTTTTGATTTCATCAGGTACTTTTATTTATATATATATATATATATATATATATATATATATATATATATATATATATATATATATATATATATATATATATATAATATCGATAACAATTTTTGAACCAAAATCTTATGTGAAACCTAGGCCCTTTGAGTAAACTGGTTGGTGGTAGGTCAGTGTTTGAAGACTTGCAGGAGAACACAGGTTTAATTAATAATATGATTTTTTTTACTTTTATTATCCTTTTATTTTTGTTTTTATTGATTTTAATGGCAATATTAGTTAATATAGCTAATTATCTAATATTATTTTAATTCAATATGAACTAATATCATTAAATTATTTAACAAATAAATATTAACCAAATTTTTAATAAAAAAAAACATGTTTTGTTATTTTTCAGCGCCGAAGATTCTGAAAGCCAGAGATTCAGAGAAAAATAAATCATTTACTCTCTGTACAGGTGAATAAGATAAAAATAAAATAAAAGAAAAGTCATTAATATATAATCGTAAGTAATTAAAAAAGAAAACAGTGATAATGAAAGCTGATAAAACAAAAACATGAGATTCATGCACAAGTGTTCCAACACATTTCATGTACGTGTCCACCAAAGGTCCAAATCAGATTAATTTAACATTTTTGAATTGAATGATATGAAAAGAGAGTGTTAGGATGCGACAAGTGTCCACGCTTGTAGCCTCCATTATTGCGAATGATAGCACTTTCGCGTTCTCATCGAACTTTCGCTCAAACATCGTTTCAATGCGACTTTGGAATTCACTCGACAAAGCCCATACAATATATTTTTTAAAATTAATTAATTCATGCTTTTCAAATATATAATAATTTGCTTTATCCAATCTTCAAAAAAGCTCTTGGATAATTCTACAAATTTCATACTTCACATTACTGCTTCATTGAATTTGTCTCTTACTTTGTTAGGTTCGGTTCAATCAAAACATTCGATTACAACTATAGTTAATTAATTATCACATAATTAATTTAAAACATTAAATCTAATTTTTTTTTAATAAAAAATTAACAGATTATTTTTTAATTCATTAGTATTTCTTAAAACACAAAACTCCATTGTTTTAAGGAAACATATTAATAATAGATGAAAAGACATAGATATCCGTATAACTATCAGTCAACCGTCCAAAACAGTTTTTTCAGTTGAAAACTAACCCCACTTGGATATTATTAATTTTTTGATTTTTTTTATCAATCTAATTTTTAATTTAAATTCCAACTAAATTTATTTTTTTTATTTAGTTTTTCTTTTCTCCTCAATTTACTCCAAATTGAAAAATAACAAAAATATTAATTTATTTTCCATGAAGAGCACAATTTCGCCATCATGTTAGGCTGATGAAACTGCCGACTATGTCCTCAAATCACTGAACACGTCATGTATGTATTACCAACTTTTCTTTTCGATTTGCCAAATAAAATTTAGCTCCAATCCACTCTAAACATGTACACCAATAATTGAGTTTAATTATTTTAAGTCAAGGTTCAGTTTCAAATTTCATAAGTGAAAAAAGTATCATTCGGAAGAGATGTTTTATTAAAAGTTCTTGTCTAAACCCTAAAACTAGTCATCATACATGTTTTATTAAAAGTTTTCATAAAATATTATAGTCACTATTTTATAGTTTTAAACTAGTAAAAATTTATTTTTTAATTAATTGAAAAATATTTATAAACTACTCTTGGATACTTCCAATGTATCAAAAACATAAACTTAATAAATTCATTAATTTCTCACAATTTTATTGGATATAAGTGAATTTTGGGAAAAAACATGACATATGGTACCGAAAGTTGAAAGAAAATAACATTCAACTACCTTGGATCAACCGCCAAGTGTCACCGAAGGTTTTGAAGAGACAGTTGTGACCGGATGAGTAAAGCAACGAAAGAAACAGTTATGACGGTTTGTCGTGTCTTCTTTGGCTTTATAATGAAAATATAATATTTATAATAACTATTTTATTTTCTTAATTATGGATTAATTATTATTTTGAGATAATTAATATGTTTTGATTGATTATGCTTGTTATTCTAGAATTTTGTAATCCATGCAAGCATACAGTTATCCTAGTCCGAGTAATAAATAATTTCGATGTAATAATTAATTTAGTTTGGTTTGAAATATCTATTTTAATGTGACGTTAAGGTCTTGAGTAAACTAATTTAACCTTTTAATTTGAGATATTGGGATGAGATTTTGATTTTTTTTAGTTATTAATATGTCTTGGACCACAACTGAGTTCATTATCAAGTGGCTGAGCCAATACGTCATGCAACAATTTTTATTATTTTTAAATTACATTAAAAACTATAAAATTAATGTAATATTTTAGATATTTATATGATTTTTGAAAGAAGAGAAAAAGACTTTCAGTTTGATAGGTCTGTTTCGGATCATTATTGTTGATATTTTCTCCCAGAGTAGCTATAAAAAATAGATTAAATAATATATAAAATCCATTTGGAATGTGTGGAAAAAATAATATATAATAATCTTACTACCAAAGAAAAAAATAAACATTTTCTTTAATTTAAGATAAGGAACGAGATGGATATTTAAATCATCTTAGTTAATCTTACTATTTAAATCATTATAGTTTAACTATAATACATATTTATCGTTAGGAATCGTATTACTCGCTTAAAACTAATTATTATAATATTTATACTTTTAAAATACATTTACTAAAAAATATAAATAATGACGAGACTTATTTTCTCTAACCCATATATTTTGCTATCGTTAAAAATTATCGAACACTGAAAAATTAAGAGAAATAAATCATTCAAAATACAAAAATAAGTTTATAATAATTCTATTATTATTATTATTTTCATGTTTTAATTTTTGTAAGTCTTATTTATATATTTAATTAGTTATTTTTCTTCTGGCAAATTAGTTTGAGAGTGAGATGCATTTACACTTAACTCCTAGTAATGGATGATGCTGATATGAAATGTTTGATTAATAAATAAGATCAGCTCAAATATATTAAGAAGAAAAAAAGTTAATAGTTTTAATCTTTCTATGATAAACAAAAGATAACAAAAATGGGTTGGAGTCTATAGTTTGGTTTTTGCACTTAAAAAATCTAAGCAATGGATTATCCTATAACTGAAGAACAACTCAAAACTTAGTACAAAATTAATTAATATTTAAATGCTTGGACTAAGCACACTAACAACACCAATAATTTATTTAAAATGATGATTAATCATGAGGTGCAGTAGAAAGTCATTATTTTGATTTGATAATGGTCCCACAGTTAGTGAAATAAGTTGAGTTCAGTTTAATTACTTGCAAGCCATCCATAATCCTTCCAACTCAACTCTTCCACACCATTAAATTGATCCTAATAAATATATATAAAACATTTTGTATTCATTATCTCTGCGTTGTGATATGAGATATTAAAACAAGAGGAAGAAAAATGAAATAAATCTGTTTGAAAAAAAAAAATTTGAGGCATAAGCAAAGTTTTAATAATTTTTTATATTAGTTTGTAAAATAATCTTAACTTATGTGTTTTTTATAATTCCTTACAAAGGTTTTTTAAAGTTAAACAATACTGCTTAACAAATTTTATAAATTGAACAAATTACATAATTTATTACTAAAATAATTATTTACGGTGGTATAAGAAACAAAATAATTTGTTCCATTTTAACCTTTCCATCATGAGTACGGTAGATTACAAATTATTATTTATCTTAAAAAGATAAATTGTTAAGTTAATATTTATCAAATTTTTATATATAAAATTATTCATATATTTTTAAAAAATACATATTTAATTATATAATTTATTTTAAATTGTTTATTTATTTATTAATATTTTATTAGATAAAATTATAAATTATTATATTTATATATTAAAATATTATATTATAATTAATAATTTAAATATAATTTATTGACATTTATGTTTTAAATTATAATATTATATTTTAATTTTAATTTTTTTATTTTAATTTTAATATATAAATATTTTTTAAAATAAATGAATTTTCTACTTAATTTTAATTCACCGATTAACATATTTAAAAAAATATCGAATTAAACATAATTTTAATTTTCCAATTTTTAAATAACTTTATTGAAGTTTGTCTTTGACGATATGAAAGATATGTTTTCACCCGATATATTAACCTCAATCTATTAAGGGTTAGATTATTTCAATAACTAATTATACATAATAGTTTGTTATCATAGTCAAAATTTTTCAAGTATTTTTGTTTTAAGAAAAATAATTTCAAAAAACTTTATTCATCTAAAAATAATATAAGTTCATATATATATATATATATATATATATATATATATATATATTATAAAAGAATCTAGATTTTAAAATATTTATGTTGTTTGCATATAATAACAATACTTTTCACTTTATTTCTTTATAGCAAATATTTTTACTTTATTGTTTTTTTATTTACTATTTTCATCTTCATATGTTTTGATTAATGTTTGAAGTTCTTCTCCCACCCCATCTGAATCTTAGGACTTTTAAATACAGTACCAACCATAAATTATGTAAGAAAAAAACTGCAAAAATAAATTAATAGAAGCAGGGTTGATCCTTCAAACTTTGAGGCCACGTTAAAGGGGTTCTTAAAATGGATTAAAACAATAAAAAAAAATAGCAATAAATTCTAACCTCAATATAGCCCCTAAGACCTAACATTTTAAGTTGCTAGTAACAAGCATTAAATCACGGGCAACCAAAACCATTAGTTTGCTACCAATAATAACAAAAGTCTACCATTTCATTTCTTAATATATTTTTATTAACAAAGAAAAAGTCAACAATTTTGAAAAAAAAAAAGCTCATCTAGTATTAAGAGTTGCCCTAATGGCACAAAATTATGCAAAATAAAGACTTTTTTTTTTACGAGAACCTCAAATTTGCACCTAACTTTTTATTTGGTTCATAACAAATCCCACTATAAATAATCGTTAGGTGCTTATAAAAAAAGTTGATTGCTCTAAAAGATTATTAAAAAGAAATTGCATAAATCTGTAGCCTTGATTGCATATATAGTTTACAAAAGATTTGAATAGTCACAATTTACAATTAAAGTTGAAAATAGAGACTATGTATGTGGTTAGGTTACTTAATGAGTATATATGAGGTGTTAAAGCTTCATTGGAATGAGTAAAAGCTAGAAAATGAATAAATTTAAAAGTTGCCATAAAAGTAGAAGTGCTTAGGCTTTGTTTGGTTGGAGTGATTTGAGGGAGTGGAAATGAGAGAGTGGAAAAGGAGGGATTTGAAGAGAAAGGGAGATGAATGAAAAGTGAAAGGAAAGTTTATGGGAAATTGTGAATGATTTGATTGATATGAGATATAAAAATTATAATTTTATGTTGATTATTTAAGAAAATTACCATTTTACCCTTTGTATAAAATAAGGTTCAAATGATTATAAATATAATGTTGACATATTAAATAAATTATTTGACTAATAATTAAATAATTATAAAATATAAAATAATAATTAATATTGATCTGATAATAACAAATAATTATGAAAACTAATAATATAATTGTACATTATTGTTTAAAACAAATATAAAATACAGTGAAAATAGAATAATAATTAAGAAGTGATAAAGTGTAATGTTATTGATGTTAATTTTAACAATAATACAATAATATTATTTTCGAAAATGTCCATATGAATGTGAATATTTTGATTATTATTATATAAAATAATTAAAAGAATAAGGTAAATAGAAAAGTAAAATGCATGGTTATACCACTTTCCTTTTAATCTATAATTAGTTAGGTATGAATCAAATGTAAAGTCTAATGTTATTGATGCTAATTTTAAGAAGATCACAAAATGTAAATTAAATAACTACAATATAAATTTCTACTTTGAGAATGAACAATATAATTAAACTCAAAATTGAGAATACTCTTATACATTTTTGAACTCTTTTGGATAAATTTTGTTTTCCTATTTTTTGATAAAGTTAATTTTAATATTTAAAAGTATTTAACATTTTCAATTCTGAAAGGTTTTCTCTAATAGCAAATTTAAAAACATAATATTCAAAACAATATTTTAAGATTCAGTCTCGGGTTGCATTTCGCTCGAGCGACTATATCTCGCTCGAGCGAAAAACGATCCTGATCGATCATAATTTGAAATGATCGATCATAATTGGAGGATATACTAGCGGTTCCCCTGTAACCGCTATTTAAAGTATATATTAGATAGCGGTTATGGTTTAACCGCTATTACAAGTTATATTTCGCTTGAGCGACACTAAACTCGCTCGAGCGAAGACACCTGCACATAATTTTCATCATCGGGTTGTTTTTCGCTTGAGCGAAACTGATCTCGCTCGAGCGACTAGCAAAGTATGATCTCACTCGATTTATTTTAATCGATGAAAACACGTTTTAATCGATTAAAACCAATTTGGAAGTCAGGATGATCGATCAGAATGTAATTATGACCGATCAGAGTTGGTTATAATCGATCAGAATTGAATTATATCCGATCAGACTTATTTCAATCGATTAAAACAAATTTAAATCGATTAAAATGACTTGAAAATTTTTGTACAGAGTTTCAATCGATTAAAACGCATTTCAATCGATTAAAATGACTTAGAAAAAATTATGTGCAGGTTTTTAATCGATTAAAACTTCTTTGTATCAGTTAAAATAACTTGAAAAGTGTTATAAGAAAGTTTTAAACTGAATCAATCGATTAAACCCCGAATCAATCGATTAAATCACTCTTAGAAAATGTTTGTAAAAAGTTTTAACTGATAAAAACTTGTTCGTATCAGCTAAAACAATTCTGTTAAAGAACAAGAACGCATTAATGGGTTGAAAGGACTTTTAACAGATTATAACGGCTATTTCAACAGATTAAAACAAACTTTCAACAGATTAATTAATGCAGCTTTTTCTGAAAACTCTTTTAAAAACAGATTTGCTTGGAACTTTTTATATATCAGTTTTCATACAAACTAAGCAATCAATTGAAGCAACTGTTAAACATCCTTTTCCAAGAAAGATTCGTAACTGCTTTGTGAACTTCTAATCGGTTATTTTTCTAAATTATTGATTAGAATTGATTAGTTTTTCAAATAATACCTTAGAATTTATTAATTTCTGAAATATATATTAAAAAATTATAATTAAAAATATAGATTATTTAAGAATATTAACTATTGTAAAGATAAAGTAGAACATGGGAGGAGATGAGGATGATAATATAATGATATAAGTTACAAAAATGTAGAATTGAGAAGTTTGAAAACATAATATTCAAAAAAATAGTTGAGGATTCAGTCTAGGGGTGCATTTCGCTCGAGCGAGAATACTCTCGCTCGAGCGAAATAAGATCCTGATCGATCATAATTTGGAATGATCGATCATAATTGGAGATATAATAGCGGTTCTTAGGTAACCGCTATCTTAAGTGTATATTAGATAGCGGTTAAGGTAAAACCGCTATTATAAGCTCCCTTTAAGAACCATTCTTCTGTCTCGGGGTGTATTTCGCTCGAGCGATTATGCGCTCGCTCGAGCGAAATACGATCCTGATCGATCATAACGTGAAATGACCGATCATAATTGGAGGATATAATAGCGGTTCCCCTTTAACTGCTATCTTAAGTGTATATTAGATAGCGGTTAAGGTTTAACCGCTATTATAAGCTCCTTTAAAGAAACTTCTTGAATCTCTGGTTTGTTTCGCTTGAGCGACTGTATTTGAATTTTTCTGCTATCATATATTGCATTAATTACAGATCCGAGGCATCCTCCATTCATATCGATTTGGGTTTTTCTGCACCATATTTGGATCTGCCTCTTCTTCGATCCGGAATTCCCAACAAATCCTTGACTCCTCGAATACAATGGGATTTCACACCTGGCAAATCTTTTACTCTACCTCCTCTTATTAACACCATAGAATGTTCCTGATGACCTTCGCCCGGAATGTGAGGAAATATATCATGTTGATTGCTCAATCGTACTTTGGCTATCTTACGTGGAGCTGAATTTGGTTTTTTTGGTGTTCTCGTTGAAACACGCGGGCGTACACCCTTCTGGGGACATTGATCCGAAGCTCGAGTACGGTCCGTGCGCCGTTACAAAAGAGGGTAAGTTGGACATTTCGCAGACTTTCGTCGCTTTTCTTCGCAGATTAGCGAAGAAAGCCTCTCTCCCCTCTCACGCATTTCCTCGCCTGCATTTCTTCGCAAATCTGTTCAATCAAACGTGGGTGAATCTCGTGTTTCTGTCGTCGTGAACAGTATTTCATCGCAAATCAGTTCAAACAAACAGAGCATTAAAGTGTAGAGAAACTGTTGCCTTTTGTGTCTTGTGGGGAAGAAGGGAATGCCACTTAGCCCCAATAATGCAACGTGGCCCATTTTGAGATGGGTTAGGTCATGGGAGAGCCATAGATTATCTATCAATCTATGGGATTTGGGTAAGCCGCAAGAAAAGTAAATACCGGCAGCTGCTCCAATGGTTTCGCTCCCACTTGCACTTTTTTCTCCTCCACATCCTAAAACCAGTCAACCATCACTCTCTTATAAGTGCTTTTCCCCTCCAAATATATTTTTGCAACAACTTTTCTCAAAATCACCTTACGCTCCTTCCTCTCTCAAAGAAAAATAAAATGCGCTTCCACAATCCACCGCAAACCACCTGAAAGAAAAAGAAGAAAAATTCAGTTTGTGGGTTTGAAGAATTGGGGCATATATTAAGTGATTACTGAATGGAAGAGTGTCACACGGTGTTCGGAAAGTACGAGATGGGGAGGCTTCTGGGGAAGGGGACGTTTGCGAAAGTGTATTATGGGAAGCGAATAAGCACGGGCGAGAACGTGGCGATCAAAGTAATCAGCAAAGAGCAGGTGCGGAAGGAAGGAATGATGGAACAGATCAAACGCGAAATCTCGGTTATGCGTTTGGTGCGTCATCCAAACGTGGTGGAATTGAAGGAAGTTATGGCCACAAAGACCAAAATCTTCTTCGTCATGGAGTACGTGCGTGGCGGCGAACTCTTCGCCAAAATCTCCAAAGGCAAACTCAAAGAAGATCTCGCCCGTAAATACTTCCAGCAATTGATCAGCGCCGTTGATTATTGCCACAGCCGAGGGGTGTCCCACCGCGATCTCAAACCCGAGAATCTCCTCCTCGACGACGACGAAAACCTTAAAATTTCCGACTTCGGATTGTCCGCGCTGCCGGAACAGCTTCGTTACGATGGACTCCTCCACACGCAGTGCGGGACCCCTGCCTATGTGGCACCGGAAGTACTGAGAAAGAAAGGGTACGACGGTTCAAAAGCTGATATCTGGTCATGCGGCGTCGTTTTGTACGTTCTCCTCGCTGGCTTTCTCCCCTTCCAACACGAGAATCTCATGACCATGTATAACAAAGTTCTCAGAGCCGAATTCGAATTCCCACCGTGGTTTTCCCCCGAATCCAAGAGGTTGATCTCCAAGATTCTCGTCGCCGACCCTGCCAAGAGAACCACCATTTCCGCCATCACGCGCGTCCCGTGGTTCCGGAAAGGCTTGCCGATGTTTTCCGCGCCGGACACGTGTCAGATGGAGAAGCAAGACCCGGTTACGGAGGAAGGTAATGATTCCAAGGTGCCCAAGTTCTTCAACGCCTTCGAGTTCATTTCGTCCATGTCCTCGGGCTTTGACCTCTCGGGGCTGTTCGAGACCAAGCGGAAGACGGCTACGGTGTTCACATCCAGGTTTTCCGCCGTGGCGATTGTGGCCAAGATCGCCGCCGCCGCGAGGGGGCTCAGTTTTAGGGTCACCGAGGTGAAGGATTTCAAGGTCCGCCTGCAGGGCACGGCAGAGGGGCGGAAGGGCCGGTTGGCGATCACGGCGGAGGTGTTCGAGGTTGCCCCGGAGGTGGCGGTGGTGGAGTTTTCTAAGTCCGCCGGCGATACCTTGGAATACGCCAAGTTTTGCGACGAGGACGTTAGGCCTGCGCTGAAGGACATCGTTTGGACGTGGCAAGGGGATGCCACCTGTGCTGCTAACTTGCCCGGTTGTCACGGGGAGGAGTGTCCAAAACAGATCGTTAGCATTAATTAATTAATCAATTAATAATTATAATGATAATTAGTGCGACATGGTTATAAAAAAGTAACATGTTCTAACGAAATTTCTTGTGTTTGGGGGCTTTGGGTTTCTTGCATTTTTGGTCTTTATTCTCTGCCTAAATTTTAGAAAGTAGGGTTTTGCACCTCTTTCAGGTGAGATTGTATATAAATTGTAATTATTCAGTAATGCTACTTTTTGGAATGGAATTTACTGAATCCAAACTATACTCTGCAATAATTGTTAATGTAATACTAACTAGTATGAGGAACACTAAGATAACTTTACTAACAAAAATGACATAACATAAATATGTAAGAAATGACATAAAGATGACTTTTAAAATAGTTAAAAAACTTAATTATATATAACAATTTATACTTGAATAAGAAGAGAAGTATATACATTATTTTGATTTTTACTGTAAAAGTAATTATAATATATATGTTGACATATACAAGTCAATGTTGTATATTATTCATATTTTGAATGATTAATTATTTGTGCTAGACACAATCCTGATTGTTTGTTAGTCAATGTATGCTTTGATGTTTAGGTTCCATTAGTATGTTATCATATGATGTTTTTTCAACTCTTGGGTCTTATGCTGAACTGCATGTCATTTCCTATTTTGTCGGGTCTCATGTTCCACAACATGTTACAAATTGCAGGTCATAGAGAGGAAGACAGAGGTGTAATATCTGCATTCACAAATTGCAGGTCATAGAGAGGAAGACAGAGGTGTAATATCTGCATTCAGATCAATGAATGCTTAATGGCGAATTGACATATTCAAAATACATGCCACATGGAACCAGATGGGTAATTTAAACTTAAACTACGAGAAATGATCATGACCACGACCATTCTTAAATGTGACAAAAAAACACTGATATATTAGCTATCTGATTGCCAAATGGAAAATGAGCAAGGTGCAAGGCATCTTCAAATTACAGGGTGACAAAAACAGAACCAGAAACATCCAACACAAATGGATGAATATATACAAAGAAGGTGACCCACAGAACTGAAAGCAGACAAAGGAGTCATCGAACATTTCTGGGTGAACAGAGAGATGAGGATGAAATATATGTTTGTCCTTTTATGATTTATTGAAATTTGGTCACCGGAAGTACCATCAGACTTTTAGGCCCCTCCAAGGACTGTTGAAAATTTCAAACTTGGTTTCTATCTTCCCCTCTCCACTCTCTCTGGTTTGTTGTTCCTGAGTTGGGTGGGAGCAAGCAACAACCAACCTCAATTATTTCACTCAACAAATTATTATTATTATCACTTTGTTTTAACATAATTATTTTATCTTCAAAATAATCTCTTTTGATTCTTTAGAATAATATATTTTCCCTGTTGCTAACGATATTACGCTTTCTATTATTACTACTTAATTACATAATTGATTGTATACCCATAAGAATGAGTTGTAACACGAATACGAGAGCCAGTGATGTTAAAGAATGACTAAAGATAGCCATGGATGCAAAGGAATATAAAATCTTCACACTATAAATAGTGAAGACTTGAATAGGAAGTTAGAACACGCCACATGAACTTAACCTACTCTACACTGGGACTCTGCACCACACGGAACAAATTCCCACCCTTCACTGTCTCTCTTTTTCAGCAACTAATAGCAGTAGAACAACAGCACGCTTTTATGCCACTGTTTTATAGCTTAAGCGATTATGTAACATGTACACCACCATTATTAAAGGGATCAAAAGGCGAAAGGACCTTTTGTATTTTGCTATCATCAAGTTGCTGATTAAGGACTTTAATAAGTGTGAACAGTGTTAATAGCAAAACCGCTTCTGTTTATTTTAGTTTGGTTTTATCTGTTGTGCGATACATAGGCTTTGTTTATACTATTCGTTCATTGCATTTCTCTCTCGCACACAAGTTATATGTATGTGAAACAAGAAACACTTGGCTTTATCTTCTATTTATAACTACATTCATCTTTATTATAATATTTTTAACTACAAATATGTTGTCATAAAAAATAATATTATTTTTATTCTAAAAAATTATCTTATTAATAATAAAAAAAAACCATCAATACAAAAATATAATATAAATACTTTAAAATTAGAAAAAAATCACTACCATCAACTATTTAATGATAATTAGAAAATAACATCTTATAAAACTTTTTACAACATATAAATAATTATTTCATGTGTTTAGATCTTAAATATATCCATTATTATTATCATTTCATTGTTTATTTCGATCCACTAACAAACAATAACATTCGATGAAAGTCGTATAAAACAATATATCATATTTTGTTAAGAGTGACTACGACGTTTTATATAGTTTCGTTAGTGTGACTTATCTTCTCAAGAGTAAAGTATATGAAAAAAATTGATGCCACCACGTATTGTCGTATTTCTTAATAGCACCAGAGAATCCAAACCCAATTATCACGCTTTCTTCCTGAGCATTCAATGGCAAAAACTAGTTAAATACGAAAAAAAAAAAACATAATTAAAAAAAGTTGATAGAAAATAGTCTCGAAACTCTAAAATAATGTACATTCAACGCAAATACAAATTTGATATTGTCAGGTTTATGATTTTAAAATTCAAATCAAATTATATTATTTTTATCATATTGGTGAATCCACCTAAGGCTATGTTTATTTATTTATATATATATATATATATATATATATATATATATTTTACATAAGAAAAATATTTCCAATATTAATATATATTAAGATAATAATACACTATTAACCTGTTTTGTTGTTTAGTTATAATTAATATTAAATCGATATAATTTATTATTTAAAATATCTTACTAAAAAATTTATAAAAAGGATTTCTTTAACATTTACATGTCAATTTTTTTTTCTAATTTAAGTATTATATTATTTTGGTAGATGACTTTTTTTGTTTTAATATTCACTAGAGTTTGACTTAATATATATTAAAGTAATATATAATTTTTTTTATCAAAATATTATTGTTTATAGTGAAGAACGAGATCATAGGTTCGCTTCCCTCATATATCTGAGTTCTTAATTAGAGAGTTTATGTTTTGAGTACGTTCATCAGTCTCAAATCACTTAGGATTCAATATTAAAAATAATTTATATATATATATATATATATATATATTTTTTTAACATACTGAAACACCTTTTAAGAACAAAATAATAACTAATTATAATTATAAAATAGACAATATTTCTGATATAAAAATTTACCTTATCAATTTTACGATAACAAACATTCATATAGAATATCTAATATCTAATTGTTAAACCAATTACTAAAAAAAAATTAAAAACTTAAGTTTGACCTATTTTTATAGATTATTTTATCTTTTAATAATACAAAATCATTAAATAATTGAATAGTACAAAATCATTAAATGATTGAAATAAGGGGTAGTGTGTTAAAAAAATTGGTAAATTTGAGTGTTTAGTTGCAGATGAATGGGCAAGGAATATGGAATTAATTTTGTAGGACTCATTTAAATTCTTTTTTTTTTTTTTTCAAAACATGAAACGTATAGGAATTTCCGGATTTTTTTATGTCTTTTCCATTAATAAAATTTTCATCTTATTATAATTTGTCTTTTTCTTAATTTTAATATTATATATTTATATTGCATGAGAAATATATAAAAAAATGTATATAAAATGTTACTGTAAATAAAAAGAATAAATATCATATATTTTATTTATTTAGGTATCAATTTTATTTATAATTTATAGAAAAAATGTCAATAATTTCTAAAGCATTTCAAATGTCTTTGATTCTTCCTCGTCCTTTCCAGTGAGTGTGTTTATATTTCTTACCGTAATTGCGGGCATCTGGGCTTGGGCCAGAGGTCTTGTTCTTTAAAGTTATGGGCTTCACATTATTGGTGCTGGGCTGGGATATCATAATAAGGATGTGATGTTTTCTTCCTAGACTTCCGTACTTTTTTTATTGCAATCAATATTCATTTAAAATGATAATATTATTTTAACGTAAAGTTTCAGAAAATAATCTTTTAAATTTTGTTAGAAAAATCATTTAAAAAAATTAAAAATTAAATTTATGATAATTTTTTTTTCAACATAATTTTTTAAAAACTCTCCGAATTAACATTTCTAAATTGATAATATTATTTTTCATATTTTACAATTTGAAACTTCAAAAAATTATATATTATTCATTCATCTGATTTTTTTTTAAATGCTCCTTAATATACTTTTGGAATATTAGTTTCATAAAACAGAGTACGAAAGTATGAACGTGCTGAACGAATGTATCTAAGAACGTGACAAAAGAAAAAAAATCTTGACATTGCATATAGTTTTTCTTTTTTAGTCGTCACGTATTCTTTTAATTTCTCAAAAGTAGAAAAAAAAATATATAAGAAAATATGCACAACCCATAATACAAATTTGAAAAAGATAAGAGATGTCATGTCATCTCTCATTTTAAATTATTATGACAAAATAAGTTAAAATTTATAATAAGTAACTCAAAATCTCCAGAATTTTATTTTCTGGAGAAAATTAAATAAGTCAAATTAAAAAACATTAATAAATTTAGTATCCAAATGAAATTTTTATTATTAATTATTTAAGAATAAAATTAAATATTTTATTATGATCTTTCAATTGAGTGATTTAAAATTTGATTAGAGTTGTTTATTTAAATAATTATTTTTTAATTTTAATCAAAAATTTTTATTTTTAAATAATTTAAATATGAAACCTATAATAAAATATTTACTTTTATTTATAAATAATTCTTGATAACCACTCCTTTTAAAAATACTCTTATATCTTTAGATATTGATATTTTTAATGTTGTGTTGACCTTGAGTTAACATCCACACTATTATTTATCTATATATATATATATATATCTATATATATATATATATATATATATATATATATATATATATATATATATATAGTTAATTATCATATTTTAATGTTCCTATTTAGTCACTTATACACATAA